TATAATTATAAAAATGCTCAAGGGAACAAATAACTAGGTTAAATATAAGACTGGAAATGATTTTTTCAAATAAAATCTTAATTTAGACAGCAGTTTGGTGTCTGACACTTATTTTTTCAAGTGCAAATTATGCCCACAAATCTGTTGAAGAAGTGTTGATGTTTAAGTGAAGAAAAATTCTTACACAAAATTGAAGGCATTAATAGCTGTATGCTGAGAGGCATTTGGTCAAAGTTTGTGATAAACAATTATTGTGTGTAGGAGTCTCTTCAGTTTTCATTAGCACAATACAGAGTTTTATGATATAAAGGATATTGAACACCGATAGTTCTATACTGATTTAGCCTGACTGATAAATAAATGAATGGCAATGTATATATGTATGTATTGCCTCTGTCAAAAGATGGGTTTGATACCTCTAGGAGAACTGTTAATACCCTTTAAAAAAGAAATCAAGGGCCATGTGACTATGAAATGTTACTTAGATTGTCTTATGAACATTGAGAACATTGAAGATTATTAAAGAGAACAGTATCTCAAAACAAGAACGCCAGAAGCCCATTTTTCCAGCACACTTCTATGCTTCCATCTTTTGCTCCTAATTGTAATTAAAGTAGAAATAATGCTAAAAAGTGTATTCTTAAATAATGTGAAGGCAAACATTTCAAAATAAGGTACCAAAAAATTAAGGATCTGTTTGGTGAGTACTGTTCTGTTAAAAGTAATAATCAAAGAAATATCTCAAAGCTTTACTAACAATCCAGTGAGATAGGTGTGAATTCCAGCAGAGACAGAATTATAAAAGAATTTGAGAAGAAATAAAAATGATCAGTATTAATTTAACTCCGATATAAAGTTCTACAAGATATTATTAGAAGGAAGGCACCAAATTGAACCTCGCCCAGGTTCACAGAGAACTCAGCCCAGCCTGGACTTTAAGGTTTAAAACGCTCTTCCTGATATCACGCTGCTGCTATCACACTGACTGTCTAGAGTTGTTCAAAGAATTTAGAACAATTCTTTAAACTAGTAAGGGGCTGCTATGCATTTGAGTTCACTGTATCCTTCCCATATGTCTAAACATTGATAAAAACAAATTAATTATCCTAAGACCAAGAGAATAGTCATTTTGGTGGCATATACATTGTTTTCAGCTTCTTTCAATACACTGTATTAGCTGGATAAAATAAATGATGATGTCTATGTATCTAAAGGATACATATATATACATTTATATACATATATATGCATCATCTACGGACCATACAGAGCCAATCATGCATATATATATATATATATATATATATATATGCTAAAAAGGATATACATCTATACATTTCCTTTCAAGTATGTTCACAGTCCAATCCAGAAATTGTAGCATTTAGAGGGTTTATTATAAACATTGTTTCTTTTTTTTTTTTTCAAACCAGATCTTAAAGCTGCCTGGATCTTACAGCTGTTCTTGTCTCTATTTCTAATTTTATTGATCACTGAACCTGCCTATAAAACGCCTTCATTCTTTATTGATCACCTGCACCTTGGAAAGGGAAATCCCGGATGCTATAAGTTCAATGTTAATTGTCACAGTCTCTTGCTATGATGGAGTATATTATTTCATGAGAAGTATAAGGAAATGAAATTATAATGTGTCCTATATGGATACATGGATATTATGAGAATACACAAAGACAGAGACAGATGTATAACTGAGTAGGAAATGGTCAGTAGCCAGAAGATGCAGAACCAGAAAGATAAGACTGAAGTAAGGTACTTCTGTTTGCAGAGTGGATTGCAGAAAAGTACTTGGGGATGCCTCGTAGAAACAGGCCCTGTTCTACATTTGCTGGTGGACATTCAGTGTGGCACAGAGAGAGAGAGAAGAGAGAAGAGAGAAGAGAGGAGAGAGAGAGAGAGAGAGAGAGAGAGAGAGACAGAGAGAGAGAGAGAGAGAGAGACAGAGAGAGACAGAGAGACACACACAGAGAGAACAAGAACAATAGTAAAATCCAGCTGGAGAAAAATACACAAACTAAAATTTCAGTCTTGACTTGGAATAAATGAACTCTATTCCAGGCAGTGTTGCAAGTAATTTTAATATATCAGTGTTTCAATTCATCACAGCATACCTAAAAGAGGTGCACCTAGATCACCATGTGATAGACAAAACAAATAAGACACACAGAGGTGCAGTGATTTCTCTAAGTTCACAGAAGTGGTAAGCACTGACAACCCATCTGGCACAAGAGCACATTCCAGATCCCTGCTCCTCAGTGTGGCTCATGGACCAGAAGTATCAACATCTCCTGGGAGCTTGAGAGAAATGCAAAAACTTAGACACTAAGACTTCTAGAACCCAGAAACTGCACCTTAACAAAAACCCACAGGTAGTGTTTTGAGCACCTTAAAGTTTGGTTTTAATCTACTGCATTGCTTTTCTGAGGATCAATTCCCTGAGAAAGAATACATTACATATAATTAGCATGGAAAGTGCAGTAGACAAGGACATTTGTGGAGGCACGAGGACCAATCAAAGGGCTGCTGTTAACCAAAGCAAGGAGACAACAGTGGTGACAAAAGTTTCAGAGGGAGCAGGGGCAGAAGTCGATAATATTTTGAGTTTATGATATCAAAAGTGGGGATGAAGTCAGTTAATTTCCCAGTTTCTGGCTTGAGTAACAGCAGGAAATAAAAAAAAAATTAGTCTTACAGAAGTACAGTGACTACTAAGGCTAAGAATAACGCCGTGTGACAGCCATGAAGAAGAGCTGTTTAGCTGGGTCAGTTAGCAGAGGGAATTATGTAAATTATGTGGGCATTTTCAAAGGGCTCCCGAGACAAAGTCTATGCCAGAAGTTTTAACTGCTTTGCTCTTCACTGTCATCCCTCATCATTCTATTAACAAATGTGTAGTTTTTTTCCCCCAAAAAAGTTCACTGATTCGCTAAGATTCTTAAGGGGATTTATAATTCACAATCTGTAAAGATAGATGCCAAGCATCATTCTGACAGGATTTGAGGTGTTTTTTGTGGGCAGAAGTCCTTTTTTCTCCCTTTTCTTCAAAGCTCCTTCTAGGAGACTACAGAATAACAAGAAAAAATAGAAAAAAGATAATCATACCAATGTGGGAATGCAAGTTCATTAACTTACCCTGGATTCCGAACTTCCCTTGTGACTCCAAGTATTTGGTTTCTCACTTTGAAAGAGATCATGCCTCTTGCATTGAAAACCATTTTGAAAAAAATCAAAGCATTTCAGCAATACTTTAGATAAATCTATATTTTCAATATTGTAAGTAAAAGGTTTCTAGGATTCCCTAAGAAACCCAAATTAACCCAGCTTGTCTCAAAATGTTGGCAAGTATAACAAAAACAAGAGGTTACCACAGATGTTACAGTAAAACATACATCTGCTACTCTTGTTTAGACAACTAACAGCAATACAGGACTAAGAAGAAAAAAACTGTAGAAAACAGGCATTAAAGTTTACCTTCCCCACCAAGCAATTTGGATCATGACGTCCAGTGTACATCGTATCACATACATCAAGAAATATTTTCTATGATGCATGATAGCAGTATTTGTGTTAAAATTTAATTGATATACTTTGTTGAGGACGTGAAATGTTGCCCAAAATGACTTGAGTTTTCTTATACGTTGTGTATGAATTATTATACATTTTATCAATGATTCTTTTTAATTCCCACATTTCTGATGCAAAAAAACAGCAGAGGAACTGCATTTGATTTTCACATGAATGACAAAAAGCGTGTTTCTAAAATAGAAATACTTATGGGATTCATGCTTTTTGTCTCTATAATGTTCTTAGTTTCAAAAAGCAGCACTTGAGACAGACTTAGCATATCTCAGAACTGTGTGTATTGGACACACAAATATTTTAATTCAATCTTAGGAAATCTCAGACTATGAATTATTGTATGTATGCCTACTTCTGGAAAGTAAAAAGATTTTTCTTGGAATAAAGCAAGAATCTCATTAACTCTCTTTGCAACTTCAAAATGTTTTGCAAGTACAAATTTAGCCATAAAATATCTTCAGTGATGTTATTCATTCAAATAAATTGAGCCAAATAAAACCCAAGATCCCTTCAGTTCCCCTTTTTACAACAATGAAGCTATGCTCACATAATAAAACCATTACAGTAGCTCAGTAGGCAATTCCAGGATTATCTGGTCACTGCACTGCCTCCTTAAATATCTCATAATCCAAGTGAGAGATCTGGAAAGCTCAGCAGATAGAATTCTGTAACTGTTTTCTGAAATGGCTCAGAAACTTTAATGTATATGTAACGTATATTTGCCATTCAAAAATTCTCATCACTGGAAAGGTTATAAAAATATTTCATTAAGTTCAACAAGTTCAAAATACTACATAAACAAAGCACAAAGGAAACATTTTGGAAGAAAAAACTTACTGTTAAAGCTGATTCTTCCTGACTTAACACAGTATGAAAGAATCTATGATGATTCTGCCCCACTGATAACATAAATATGACAACTCCAAAAGGAACAGAACTGAGAATCCCTCCCAACTTCAGCCTTTAAACTTTGTAGGAAAAAATAGAATTCCTGTTTCCTCAAGCCTTGTGATGTGTACGTAGCTGACTCCTGCTGGGCTGAAAAAGTACTCCTTGTCAATTTTACTTGAGATTACAAATAAGTTCTCTACAGAACTGTCTTAAAGGGAAATTCTGCCAGAATTTAGTAGTATTTAAAATCTCTGCGTAGTCTCCAAAAAGTTTAAAATATACAAAGTTCATATAGACACATACACACTTGAAAACTTTCTACTGATGAAGCCAACTTAAGGGCACATTTGTAAAACAAATTCTCTAAAATAATGATTTTTGTTTGTCTGTTTCCTAATCTGTTTTTGGTTTCATTTTATGATGGGTATCGGAACCCTCCTTTTAGTTGAGAGATGGCTAAACTGCAGACCCTTTTAGCTGAACCATCTGGAAGAGACAAAGGCCCACGTTCTCACCTGTGGAGTTCGTTGCAGCTTGAGAGATGATCCTGAGTTGTAGCCTCTACTTTTTTCTTGGGAAATTCTAGCCTTCGACTTGAACAGACTAACCCAGGGTGGTTACTTGCTTTCTGCACCTCTGATGTGGACCTAACATTTCCTGCTTCTGCCTCTTTCCCTATGAGCTGGTAACAATTGTTACGTCACATCCATGCTGTGTGACTTCATTTAATGATGTTCATCTGGTCCCTTGAAATCTTCAATTCAAAACATGAAAGTGGCCACAGGAGTCAATAGTTGGATTTGAAGAAATACTTGCATATTGATGAGACAGCTATTAGAGGAATTCTTAGTAGATAGTATGAATTTATATAGTAAGTGGTATATGTTCCTAGACTCTCCATTGAAGGTCATTTCCTAGGTGATATGAGATGAGAAACATTCTACTGTAACTCCATCCATTTCCAGACCAAACCACCCTTGCTCCGAGTGCTGGCGACATAATGTTAATATTTTTTGAGGTCAAACTCTATCAAACCCAATAAATATGAGCTAGGAAAATGCAGGGCCAGTTAACACTATGCTTTGATACTTGCTTGACTGTGATTAAAGACACTGTAAAATTAAAATGATGATTAGCAAAAACAAATTCTGATTTATTGAAAGAACAAAGGTGTGTTTTGTTAATAAGAATTTTAATCATCATGATACCACTATTAAACAGGCTTTACTTTCCTCCTCTTAAAGGAAAGCAAGAGTCTTAAGAGATATAAAGGTGACCCTGTCCCTGTCAATGGGGCCACTGTCTTTTTGCTTTATGCAGTGTGCTTTTTCGAGGTCATCCACACTGATTCAAGTCTGACCCCCAGCTTTCATGTAATTTGTCTTTCACGTGTACCACTTCACAAAAAAAAAAAAAAAAAAACAACAACAACAACAACAACAAAAGAAACAAAAAACATTAAGATCGTGGAAGATTTTTATTACGCACCGAAAGGACTTGGTTAATCTTAAAAGAAATTTCTTATCTGGCCATTTAAATTCCTTCTTGAAATTCCCTTCCCTTAGCTCCTCTAAAGTTACTTTTCTCTGTCTTTCTCCTCGTTGTTAGCATCCTTCCCACGAGCTTCGTCCTCTGTTCGATACATTTCATTTTACTAGAGCATTTCGTATAGAAGTAACCACATGCCCTGACTCACAAAGCTGTACTCTCATCAGGTATTATCTCCCAAGGTTTCACACTTTTATCCTGTTGTCTACTGGAATCTCTGTCTAGAAGTGTCCAGGCATTTCAAACTCATCAATTCCAAATAAATCAGATCATTTGCTATTTTTTCTATGCTGGGCCATGGCACAATCATCTAGCTAACATCTTAGACCCTTGTCTCTCCTCACTTTTTCTCCAACACCACCAACACTGACTGACTTCTGATGGCTCTACATTATTCAGTAATCTTTATCAAATTTCTCAGCAGCCCCCTAATCCCAGTTTCACTTTTCTTACACAGCTATGTCAATCATAAACAACAGTTGACATCAATCTCAGTCTGGACCTCTTCTGTCTTTTCTCTATATCCTTTCATAGCAATATTAATATTAAAATTCCAGTTTATTCAATTATAAAAATGCTTCTTGTAGGAAATTTGGAACAAGAATCTAAAATATCTAGATAATTTAAAATGACTTGGACTCTCACTAGAATTTTGTACTAAACATCAACCATGAGGAAAAGCTTGTGTAAATGTTTAAGCATGTATACATTACCACTGATAGGATTATTTCCAAAAGATATGAAGTAAAACAAAAGAGGCCTTTATTCTGAGAGCACGGAGAGAGATAACCGACATCCCCCTCACCTGGCGCTGGAGTCAGCGATCTCTCTGGTGGACACGTGGGGTGGGGTGGGGGAATATACAAGTAGCCTAAGCTTAGGGTAGTGCCCTAGGGCCATTAGAGATGCACAGGTATTTCATTGGCGCCAGGAACAGATTCCTAAAGGTGGGGGGAGGTAGAGTCACAGGTAAATCTCTATGGGCGGGGGTGGGGTTGGGGGGAGGAGGGGAGAGGTTCAGGTTGAGGCTTTTTCTGGCTACAGTGTCCCCTCTGGGCCAAAACCCTTTCAACCACCTATAAAAATGTACACATATAGTTTCAGTTCTACAGCATATTTAACTAGAAAACCAAGAGCATGTTGATCAGTTATAGGAAATGAGAAATTTCTTTCCCATTGCTAGGTCATGCCCAAGGCCCTTTTAAGAAAAGGCAGATTAGCAAGAAAAACGCATTCACATTTATATGTTTCATATGGCATGGGATCCTCCAGAAATGAACTCAGAGAAGCTGCTATTAAGGAAGCTTGTGTATTTCATGCTCAGGTTGATAAAAAAAGTGGATAGTTATAAAAAAGGAGTATAAAACTGGGGGCAATATAGCAATGAAGTCTGCTTTTTCAGATTCTTTTTATATCCCTGTCCTAAGACATAAGGATAGTCCTTTTTTAAAAAATAGAGTGGGGCTCTCTGAAATGAAGGTCTTATGACCTGCTGTAGGGGAGAAGGGTGGGAGGTGAGGCTGCGACCTCCCTAGGTTGTGACTGCTCCGGGAGAAGGCTGAAGGTGAAGCATGGGGGCTTCCTGCTTCTGCTGTTTTCTCAAATGCTAAAATGCAATATTTTGGGGGTAGCACATCCTAAACCCCACAGTAACTCTTTTTTCTCTTTTATCATACAATATACTGTGATTTTCCAAAGCCATAGTATTTTTAAAGTGGAAATGAATAATAGTTACAACACAATTAAATACATAATAGAATATTGCTTTTATCCCCCTCTAATTGTTTTAGTACCAAAAACACACTGATCATTTATATACAATATAAATCACAAGGACTTTAGGTAGGAAAAAGGGAAGAAAAATCTAGAATGTTCACTTTATTTACTTTTATTAGGTACTATTTAAGCAACTGCATTTTGTGTGTAAATCTCATTTCAGGCCTTCAAGTACATACCGAATTTTGAGGTCTATATAACAGATCGGAGAAGGGCTTACAGGTCCAGTAGTCCTTACTAGCCCTTATCAAACAATTTGACAAACCACTTTCACTTTACAGTGAAAAGAAAAAACTGACAACTTTCGGGACTTCCAGTTTTTGGTGTTTCTTTGGTGGACTAGCCTCTGAATACACAAACTATTTTAGAGTCAGGAAGACTGCTGCCTTTCTGTGTGAGACACTGTCTCTCTCCTAGAGGAGTACAGTTTAACATCTACCTGGCAGAAGAGAATTTGATTTTCACAACTACTATTGTTGTACTCTAAGAAAAATAACTTCGTTTTATGTGTACTATAGCAAAGCCTGTAACCTGGCCTTACTGTGTATGTGTTTTCCTTTTCCCTCTGGGTGACCTAATTGATATGTTAATCAATGCTCTTCTCTGTAAAGAATTGCAAAACCTTACCTATCTGAAATGTTAACCATTGTTGCCCTCTACAAATAACAGATGCGGTAATAAGATAAGCTAACAGGAGTTGTTAATTACTCCTAGACTTCCCCATTCTCTGCTGAGGAAAACAGGATTTCTTCTTACCTAAACTTGCTTGTATGCAGGGAGACTTGCTTGTTAGCACCACCCTTACCTGACCTTGCTCTCCCCAAGGAATGTAATCTCACCATATTTTCTGTTCTGTAATGTGCCGCACTGCCTTCCCCCTTTCCCTACCCGGTGGTGGTCTGTCATAAAATGTGCTAATTGCGCTGTTCTTAAGAAATGCTTAACCTCAAGGAAATTACAAAAATGTTGTGGATTAACCCTAATGCACCAAAAGGGTTAAGTTCCAAATCCTTGTAAAAACTTAAGTTTCAGCTTCTTGTAACTTTCGACCCCTTCCCACATGTGTTAACGAGCTGTCCCGAGATAATTAACTGCCTCCCCCCTTCCACATGTTATTGCTAGCAAGCTGTCCAATAATTAACCTTCCTGAATGTTACTGCAGATGTGCTATTCTGAGATAATATTTATCTGCAGAATGGGAGTAACTTAAAAGGCGCCAAAGGCTCCTGATATTATCAGAACTAAGTGGGCAGCTTTACAGTTTCCAGACTTGAGTCAACAGCTTCATGGCTCTGCGGGTTTGTTTTTTTCTCCCTCCCCTGCTGTTAAAAGCCCTTCCTTCAGTCTCTGTGGCACACAGTCTCCAAATTGGCTCCCAGAGACTCGTTGCCAGGCCTGGCCTAAATAAAGCCTTTGCTCCCCAAATTTAATTTCTTGCTTCCTTGGATTTTATTCCGGGGTCTGAACTATCACACTATGTAATTTTACAGGATTCTAGTAAATTAAAAAATGCCTTCCAGAAGAGAATAGGTCTTTGTTAAAGGAGAAGTCAAATCACCTTATCTTCCTGGCTTATTTAATCTTTTAAGGGTTCTGTATATTTTCAGGATAACAGTTAAACTTTTTGTATTACTGCACAAGGCATTGCAGGATATCCTGCTGGTCGCTCCACTGTATCTTGTTACTTCTACAGATGACTTTCCTTATTTCTCATACGATGCGCCTTCCCAAATGTCCATGTCATGGTAATTCATGTCACAGTACTTCTGTACCTCCTTTTCTCTGCCCAGAAAGACACTCCTTTCCTTCTCCTATTTGTTTGAAGCCAATCCTACTTTTTCTTTCAGGGCTTAGGTAACAACTAGTTTTTCTGCTTTGAGACTGAATTCCACTTTGTCTCCCATAGCACCTTCTTTTCACTTCTGTCAAAATACTAAATTAAACTTTAATTGGTGACTATAGCCACCTGTTTAAAAAAAAAAAAGAATATTTTTTAAATTTACATTTGTATTCCTAGTATTCAGCTGTAATACAAGATCCAGGAAATTGCTGATCCGAAGTTTTAAACCCACTAAGTCCTCTCTTTCATCCATTACATCATCAGCATAAGCCCATGCTGCCTGCTCTTCAAAACAAAGAGCAAGGATGACTGATTAGATTTAAGACACAGAGATACAATACGGGGAAAATGTGGTGAAACAATACAATACTAGGGGGGGACAGAAATCAACACATTCTTAATGTAGTTGTTTTTTGTGATGTCAGTGGGATTAAAAACTTTCTTCTGAAAGCCTGCAGGTCAGTTACATTTTGAGCATAGTCTCTTCTATTTGTTCTTCATTTGGTTAGTGCAGACTTGAAGGTCCAACTGTAGAAGTCACTTTAATAGCTACTTTATGAGTGTCTTGGATGTAGGGATAAAACTCAGTAATATAGTGCTAGCGCTTAGCACATGTGAAGCCCTGAGGTGGCTCCCATCCCATAAAACAAAAATTTCCAGATTTTCAGTTAAATGTATACCTGAGTTTTACATATTATCTTCTCTCCCATGTGAACAGAGACAAAACTTCATTTGTTACAGCAAAAGAGAGAACTTTCCATCCTCTCAACTTCACCAACTAACATCAATCATGCTACTAGCAGAAAACAGTCACATCTGCACAAAGGTTGAGTGGCATTCCTGAAAAAGTAATGGAAGCATTTCCATCCATCTATGGACTACAGTATCCTCTATGTCACTGCAGCACACCTTGACCTCATCCTCGGTACTTTCTGATCTTACTAAAGCACTTCTTGAGGAAGTTCAAGATAGTTCTGTATTTAAATTGTTGTACACTAGGAAAAAGAATCTTGTTATGTTTGTATTATGCCAAAATACCTGTAAACGGGACCCTAACTGTTCTGTATCTATGTTTCACTTCCCCTTGTCCCTTCTCCCTCCTCCCTCTGGGTGACCTAATTGATACCTTAATCAATGCCCTCCTCTAAAAATGTAAATCCCTGGGGTCCTAACCTAATTGATAATGTTAACCATTGCTGCCCACTACAAATAACAGATGTGGTGCTAAAATAAGGTAACAAAAGGTTGTTAATTGCTGCTAGACTTCTCTGTTCTCTGCTGAGGAAAACAGGATTTTCTCCATTAGCCTATCTCCTGATCTGCCCAAACCCCTTACTTTGTAAACAGTGATATATATATATATATATATATATATATAGGCTGCAAGTATGGGGAGGGGACACACAGCTTTGGCAGTCTCCAGCTGCCCTGTGTCGCTGGGCCCCGGGTAAAAATAAATTAGTGCTGCTTTTTAAAACCAGTTTTGTTTTGAAACTCGAGATGGGGCTGGGGATCGTTTTAGGTTATAACAAAATTATGCAACAATTATTTTATTGTTCTAATATAGCACAGGGGACTTTAACAATTTAGAGTCTTTTATCAAAATGCACTATGATTTTGATAATATGTGCTACCACTTACTGGGTCATTCAGATGGCCAGAGGTAGTTTTTCTTTAAAAACAGATGGCTCTGTAGCTGCAGCAGGAAGGGGTGGGCATCTATTCCAGTCTCTCTATTGTAACTGTAGTAACAGAAATTAGCAGACAGAAGAATACAGCTATGCATCTGCTGAAATCTGGCCGAGAAACAATTTCCCATGATGAAATGGTTCATGAATGAGAAATTTTTAAGTAATGAAAGACAGAGAACTATGAAATAATTTATGTGCAAGAAAATAAAATCCTTTAATACTCAGAATGAAAACTTTATATGAAAATATAAATTACACAGAACACATACACACATTAACTTTAGTATTAATTAAAATAATAGAATTCTGCAAATACCATGAACATTTAATAGAATGGGTAACTGTATTTTAAATAATAGGCTTAACTTTGTCCATGAAGATCAGAATAGATAAACATAAACACTTAATAACTTTTACTTTATTAATGAAACTTGAATTTCACATATAAAGTCAGTTATACAATTTTATTTACAAAAATAATAAAAACTGTTCTCTAGTGTGGAATATAACCACTTTGATAAATGAAAAGCATTTTATGCAAAGAGATTAAGAATTTTTTATTTGCATCATTGTCTCTTTTTACGATTAAGTCAAAATTATTTTAACTGTTTGTCACTTCTGTATTCTATAATTTAGTTGAACGTGAACAGATTATTTTGGTATGTGCTGAAATGGTAAGATTGCTCAGTGACAGCTAACTCACTGGGTGAATGCTCAATAACTTGGAAGCTGAATCAAGAAATTTAAATTGGAGTTTGTAGTTATAGAGGATTTGTGACTTTCATATTTTGCTCATAACATATAATAGAAAATTCTCCATAGGAAAACATTTTTAAACTGAAATTACAGATTCATCAACTTGAATAATAATCCTTAGCAATTACATGAGTTACTTTCACTAGATTAATACTTTTGTCTAAAATGGAGCAAAGGTAGCCTAATCGTTGTATTTTAAACATTTTAAAATACATACATCGTTTTAAATGCCACACAAGGAATTATATAAAATAGCATTTTAATATTTGAAATTTACCATAATATTAAAAATAAATTCCTTATGATAAATAATAGCTTATTCTTTAAAGTTCCTTTGCTTTAAATGATTAAGGAATTATTTTAATTATTTTTAATCAATCTTTAGAAAAGAATATTTTTTAAAAAAATATGTAAACAGGGATTCTGTTTTTGGGAAAAAAAGGTCTAATGATTTAAATCTTATAACCACTGGAAAAATCAGCTTAATTATTTACATATAGGTACTTACTAGAAGCAAGGTTATGGGAGGGGAAATATATATATATATATATTACATTGCACTTTGTGAAATATTTTTCTATTAATTTTAAAATAAGTGATTTTATTTCCTACACACCAAAGACATTTCTCTTTTTTAAAAACCCATGACACATTTTAGGATTCTGCCTAAATGTATACAAGTATAGTGGTATCCCTTGAAAATCAAATAGCAAATGTTCTTACAAAACGAAAAGTATCAAAAATGTATTGTTTATTATTTTGAAAATGAACCAGAAACATACAATTATTTAGAATTACATGAAAATAATTTTTATGTGAAAAACTCCACATAAAGTTTATTTGACAATAAAAATTTCCATGGAAAACTCAATTTTCAAAATTTATAGCTGTAGAAGATTTATATTAAATATAACATTTCCATTTTAACTGAATTGTATGTGGGGCACAAGATGGGTGGGGGAGTAAGGAGTTGTGAGTCACAATTTTTTGTGACCACTCACCTTTAACTTTGGGAAAAATGTTCACTATATATCAAATTCAGTTATTACTCTTCTGTCACAGATGATTTCCTGGATTTGAAAACAAGGTCTTTAATGGAAGAAGCAAGTTCTTGGAGCTCTTTACGAGTGGTATTGGTGACATCATGTTGCTCTTTGTCTAATTCTTCACTCAAGGAATCCTCTGCCTGCCCAGTCTTCTTTTGGCTTACTAACTGCTTTACAACCAAACTTTGATACTTTACCAAAAGAGCGTGCTGATCCTGTGAAAAGAAAGGAGAAGGAAAGGTAAGAAACACAATTAAAGTTTCTGAGGAAAAGATAATGTAAATTTTGAGATGGCAATACACAATGAATGTCTTCAACTTTATAAAGCTGAATAAACAAGGCCTCATACACTTACGGAATTACACATCAGGGAAAATAAAACATGAAAATAGAACATTTTACTATACACTGACTTAGCTAGATCCCATTACCAAAGATAAAATCAAGGTGATGAAGAGGCTCAAAGAAAACAAATTTCTTTTAGCTGAAGGATTGAACTTCTCAGAAGAATGTGTATAGGACAAAATGCTTGAAATATCCTTGAAAAATGAGGATGAAAAAAGACGATCTGACACTCTTTCTTATTTACTGAAAGAATAATTTCCAAATCCAAAATCTCCTTTACTATGGAAGGCTCCTGAGCTGCACTAAAGTTAAAAATCAGTCCCTCAGTAATGGTTCACATTCTTAGAAGCAGGCAGATGATGTTAGCATGTTTTTGTCTCTGTATACCAACAATGATTTGCACCTATTCACTCAAAATATTCAAAATTTTAAAGTTTGAGATGTTTCAAATGGACTGAAAATGTATTACCTCTGGGATTTTGTTACTGAGAAAAGCAATGATCTGTGGGACACATCTTCCAGGTGCGTGGAGCATGCTGTGGGTTGAGAACTGAAACAAGAGAACTGATGTAAGGTGCAGAATAAGAGCAGGGTCTTCTGTGACCTTTAGCTGTTCAAACAGTGCTTGTCGATGCTGGAACATTATCTGCCTAAAAAATAAAATCACATACAGGTAAGACTTGAGAAATTCTTACCAATCTCTACTGTTGTCTTCTCTACTCATTTTTAGCTTTTCTAGCTTAATGTTCTAATTTTGTAACATTTTAAGGGGTCCTTTAAATATGGGTGATACAGACACACATACACACACACAAACACAAACACTAACTGGCATGGCTAGAATAATTTCAGAAAACTCCAAAAAATATACAGGATAGGGATACTCAAAATAAATTTTGTTTTAAGTTGCTGGGAATCAAACAGAACTGCCCATATTTAAATCAGATTTCCTGTAAGAAAGTTTCCAAAGCTAATAAAAAGTCCCAGACTTAACTGGTTATGAGATTAAGGAACTCTGCTATGTCAACGAGAGGGTCAGAGAGGAATAAATAACTGTATTAAGAATTTAAATATGCTTGAATATCTATATCCATCAGATACAGTTCATCACCCAAAGTTCAGATAGTCATATTCAAATTGCAAGTATGTAATGTCTCACACCTGGAAGTATTAACAGATTAATTCACTGTTACCTTTCCTTCCTTTTGTCCCCCTTTTTCACCATGATATCACAAGCTTCTGCTGCAGAGTCCAAACAAGAAAAAAAGTCGTCTATGCTCTGAAAAAATATTTAATACCATAGTGTTTTACATAAGAAATGTCACTTTACATTCTAAATACAATTTTTACATTGGGGAGAGGGTGGGCAGGAGATTTAGCTCAATGGCACAAGCACCTGCCTGGTAGGCAGGAGGTCATGAGTTCAATCCTGGGTTCCAAAACAAAAACAAACAAAACAAAACAAAATAATTGGCAAGAGGGTTGGCCTTAAATTAACAACTGCCATTCAAGGAAACAAAGAGCAAAACATTCCCAGCTTGGCCTCTTGTATTTACCAACAGGTATCTGAGTGTGGGAATGTTTTAGTTTGGTTTACAGTTTTTATGGTAAAGAGTTTTATAACACAAAGTTCTAACTATGGTAACTGATTAAAATCCAACTATACTTACTTTTTCATTCAGAGAGTTGTGGAGTTTTGTGAGTGTTACTTTGGTCTCTTCTGACAATTTACTTAAAATTTTTTTTCTTACCTACAGAGGAAAAAACTTTTGTCAGTACTGGACTTTTGGATATATGCGGTATAAGAGCTAACAAAACAAACAGACAAAGTGCATTTATTACTGTCACAGAATTCTGACTGGAATTTGTTTTTGAACTTGAAATATCAAACATGAAGGTACGCTAAAAATGTTCTATGATCAGAGCTAGCCAACAGCTATTCAGGAAAAAAGGCTAGATACAATGCTATTTCTTCCACTTGCTCTACCAATTTTAGTCTTGTAGGAAGCACAATATTTGGGAAAAAAGTGCTTTTCCCTCCCCAATACCAGGAAAGGAAGGCCTCCTTTAAAAGAGGCTGAGATTTTGTCCATGGATAGAAGCTTCTTCCACTGTATGACAGCAAGAACCTCATGTACATATCCTGTGTAGTCAGATGGTCTCTTCTGGTAGAATATTTTTGTAAGAGGCTGCTGAAACGGTTTAACAACAGTGCCTTGAAGGGCATGTTTTGGGAAGAGGGGCAACTTAGTAGTTCCTTGTGTCACTCTGTACCAGTCCTCCTGTGGTGCTTTAAGGGCAAGGAACAAGATCTATTATTTCTTACAGCAGAAGTTTTTACAAAGCCAGGAAACATGGGATTGTCCATGGGGACAATCTGGGACTTGTTGCACCTGCTAAAGAAGGGAAGTTGTCTAGCACGCTGCAGGAGTAGAAGCAAATGCCTGAAGGTCTGGAGGCTAGTGTGTACTATGAAAAGGAGTTATGTGACACTAAACAATAGCTCAAAAAAACTCATGCCACCTATTTGACAACAATGAAACCAGTAGAAGGCACAAGGATTGGACTAATTTAGTGTGACTTAAAGTAGTTATCTGCAGTCTATCAAATGAAGACAAATGCCCTTCCGTATTGTCCCTCCATCTCCAACCTTAATGTGGATCAAGAGCAATGAGAAGTTGGAGAAAAGGAGGAAAAAGAGGAGAAAGACTGTTATTTTATGGGCAGACTACAACAAAGGCAGTGAGCCTATAGCATGGATGCCACGGGCTACTTGTTAACACTGAAAGCTTTCAACTGCCATCACTGACTACGACTTTTCTTCTCTAGGCAAAAGGGAGTCATGGCTTTACCCTACATTAAAAAAAAAATGAGTTTTATATATATATTATTTTTTTTTTTTGTCTTTTTCCTTTTTATCAGCACTGGGGATCGAACTCATGACTGCCTGCTTACAAGGCAGGCGCTTATGCCACTGAGCTAAATCTCCAGCCCCGAGTTTTATATTTTTTCAAATTCTAGTTTCAGAGTAAGAAATAACTAGAATTATCTAAGTATTAAGTGAGACGGTATCTTTAAATGAAAATGACTACAAAGATATGGAAACTGGACAGGAATTAAGGGACTAACACATGAACAGGAAAAAGAAAGATGTGAAAGAACATAATTTTAAATGAATGTCTTTATTCCAAAGTAATTAAGCAATGTATGTTTGGTAGAGTGGCTACATTACCAATCCTGCCAGAAACATACCTATATCTATTTATCTATCTGGACTAAAAATCTTTTAGGTTAGTTTCTAAAATATTCTTTCTGTATTTTCCTTTTAAGGTATTTCAAATGAGAAAAAATAAAATGTGCACACCCCAAATACATCAAGAATTGCCACAAATTACTAACATACTTCACTCGTAATGGTTGCAGGACAGTCTACTGCCATCATTAAATCTGAAGCTAAGAAGTTGAAAATGAGGTTTGTGATATCAGTACACACTGTCTTCAACAAGTGCTTGGTAAGAGCAGCCTGTGTGTCAGCTGAAAAAGAAAGACACTCTATTAAAACTAACCTTTTAGGCAGAATTATGAGATCAGTGAAAAACAGTATTAAGCATACCTGCAAAAAGCTTCATCCCCTTTTCAAACAATCTAATATTATTGTAGAGGTTTGAAACCTCTTCTTGTAAATCCTTGATTGTGCGTTTTCTACCAGTTCCAGAAGCAGAGGTTGAAGACATGAATACTGAACGTACCACCTCGAGGTAGGTTTTGTTAAGAGGTCTGTGCACAAGATAAATATAATTACTTTACTAAAAATTTACTGAATGTATGCAAGTAAGAAATTTTACATTTATTCAAATGAGGCTGAAGAAAAGATTTCTTCTTTTTCAAACACGTCACATAAAATGTGGAGGAGTTCACTAAGAATTTCTTTCCCAGTCCTAGAAAGTATAACTTAAATGGATTATCTTTTTTAGACTACTCAATGTTAAAGATGATTAACAATAACCAACACTCAATAAACTAAAAAGTTTCTTTGGAGTTAATTTGGACAACAGCAGACTATAAATCTCTTCCCTTTCTCAAGAATTACAACTTAAACGAATTCTCAGTTTCCAAAGTGGTGTAAGACATGCACTGACTAAAACTTTGTATACTCAACTTTTAAAGTAGAGCATTTAAAAAAGCATCGGTAGATGACTAGTAACTATTCATCTTTACATGATAAATATGATACTGTAATGGACTTTTGGACAAAAATATTTAAATTTAAAAAATTCTCATAAGGAAGCTCTATTTCTAAACAAAACGTTAAAGTATCTTGTGTTTCTAGATTTTATTTATGAAAACTTAAATAAATACTGGCACTAACTTGAAGGAAGACCAGGTTTGATTAATAATGGCCAAGTTATATAATTTCTTTTATTCCTTCATTTAAAAAGTTGTCCTGGCTCATTCATAAAGTAGGAGTGCTAAATTTATTCTTTTGGAGGTCAACTTGTTCTTCACTTTCCACTTTCAGTCAAATAAAAATTGAAAATGAACCTTTTTCCTTTTGGTGCTATTTTTCATGCTATGGAAGAGACAATCCTGAGATTAGCACTGGTGATTTTTCCCTCATTGAGACAGAAGATTGTAGAATCAGTTAAATGGCTCAGTTAAAGGTTCTCAGCTTTCATTTGCTATATTGTTTTTCCCAAAATATTAAATGTCTCCCAAAATACTAAAAACCACGCTGCTTCTATAGGTAAATAAAATCTGTGATTTGGTCATTAACACTGAATTTCAAATTTGAAAAGAAAATGCCTAAAATTTATAACTGTTTTCTAAGATCCCATCCAAAATTATACTTAAGCTTTTTTTTTTCTTTTGTCTTTGAGACAGGGTCACTATGCAGCTCAGCCCAGGCTGGTCTTAAACTTGCAACATTCTTTCTGCCTCAGCCTTCTGAGTGCTGGGATTACAGACATGCACCACCCGGCCCAGCTATATTTAAGAGAAAAAAACATGTTTTATTATACTTGCTTCATTAAGTACTCAGCAAGCTCAACAATAAATTCTTCAGGGGCATCTTGCATGTGTTTGCTTAAAAACTCTTCAATCTCTTCTTGGAACATAAAAGTTATCACTGGTTTCTTCTTTCCTGCAACAAGTACAAGCAATGTGGGGTGGGAGGAATAACAACCAAAACATGCAAACAACCAGAAAGCAAGTTAAGGTTTCAATAACAAATGTTAGTAAGATGGCAATCCATTCATTGCCTATCACAGTCTCTGAAACTAGTATTTATGTCAATAAAATTGCTTATGTGAAATACCAGTAAGAAAATAGTTTAAAAATTAGGATATACAATATGACCTAAAGGATTATTTTAATACTTCATTTGAAAATTATTATTTTCTAAAAGTCAATCAGGAAGTACAAAAAGATGATTTTCTCCACTCTAACTTGGATAATGCAAATCACAGAAATCAAAACAAGTAGACAGAAAATAATTTTTCAAGAAAAAAAGAATTTCTCTTTGTAAAAAAAAGATACTGAGTAGAATGTTCTTTATGAGTATTAGAAATTAAATCATCCTTATAATTTATGCAGTATCTTCAGAAAGCTTTTATAATCATTGTAACTACAACACCACTAGAATTGTTTAAGTGTTACCTTTTTTGGATAGACAGAGATGAAAATAAAGAAAACCTGCATAATTTTATACCCAAAATGTATTTTTGCTCCATAAAAATGATTCTAAGGAAAATTTATATGCAGCTAAAATAATGGAAATAATTATTTATGGTGGAAATGTCACATCTACCCACTTACCTGAAAAAGTATAGGCTGCAGACAAGGAAAGCTAACAATATTTCCATTAAAAATTGTAAAGGTCTGAAAGTGATTATTTCCAGCTAAGTTAGGTTATCTATTCTGCAGCAAAACCTTAGCAATAAAAATAATGTGTTTCAAAAATCCATTTCCAGCAAGACATTGTATGTAGTATATGCCTGTAATCTCAGCACTTTGGAGGCTGAAGCAGGGGGTTCATTTCAAGTTTGAGGCCAGCTTGGGCTACATAGTGAGCTCAAGGCCAGCGTGAACTACATAGTGAGACCCTGTCTTAGAAAAAAAAAAAAAAAATCAATTGTCCATACAAAGAGTTAAGCAGTTGAAACAACAGATAGTACATAGATAAATGCTACCCTTTTTTTGGTGACATCTGCTGCCCACCCAATGCTCAAAGTAAGTAGTCTACAATATCCCTGTTTGTTTCCTACATGTCTCTTTAAAAGTCTTAAAATTATATCTTGTTTCATGTATCTTTCATATTGAGGTGGATTCTGTATTTTAAGCTGAAAATCTAATTTCATCCTCCATTTCCAAAATTATGATACAACCCTTTTCCAAAGGTGCTCGATTACATTTTTAAGGTAGAATGGTTTTACTACCTTTATAGTTCCTCTCAATAATCTATGCACAAAATGAGTATCACATGCCTCATCTATTTAAAATGACAGATATTAGAGAAGTATTTTTAAAATGTCTTTTATCCCACCCTGCCACCTCCTTTGAATAAGGAAATTTATCAGTGAAAGACAGTCTCAATGCTACATAAAAGAGTAGACAGAGCAAATATTTTCTACAAAGATGCTTCTGCTTTAACACTATTTTAAGAACATCAAGAACAGAAGCTTTTTCAACCCTTCTTAAAACATTTAAAAAATTGTAAACAACTGTGCTATTACAGGTAGCACATTAACAGTCACAGCTGCGACATACGATGTCTGCATCTCCCAGCTACAGCTCCTATGCAATGAACTCTGTTAAAGGGAGAAATCTCAAATTAACAGCTGAAGAGTTTTAAATTTTCTTTTTACTGAGAATGAGGAAGACAGCATTATCAGTTTTGTTAGATTTTTAAGAAAGAAAAATGACAAAAAAATTTTCATCTAGAATAACAAAGCACCACATCTCTTGTAGACTTTAGATGTACTATGCCAGAGATCTAGTTCAACTGCACCAGTGCCTGTCCAGCAAGTGCAAGATACTGAGTTTGATTCTTAGTACAAAAAATACAAAAAAGACTTTAAAAAAATCTAGAAAATGAATATGCACTTAATGAATTCTACCCTAGACATAAGCAACTTAGGTGTTATAAAAATTAGACATGCATAAAATTCTGTGCAACAGCTGTCAACATTTTATCTTTTGTACTTTTAATGTCTTCAAGAGTTGAAATTTCTAAGAGTTGTTTTAACGTGAACTTCTTGCCTATGTCACGCGGTCTAAGACATTCTCATTCCTTTGATCACAACCACTGTTCCCATTGGTGCACCTTTACTAAGCTGCTCTGTGTGAGGCACTCAAGTGTCTGGAACAATGAGAGTGTCATCACCTGCAGAGTCAGCCACTCCTGCGATTGCTCTCCCGTGCTCGACTCCAATCTGACTTCCAGTGTTGCCACTTTTCATTTGTGTGCTGCACTGTCACCTCTGTTGGCTAATTTCCTCTTTTAATTATGAATTTTTATAAAATATCACATGGCTCTATTAATGAGAGACAGAGGCAATTCAATTATCAGCTTTGTTGCTTGAAAATGAAAATCTGACAGATGTGCAGTGCTTAATTAGTGACAAACCTCAAAATAAGTGACTCAACTATCAAAGATCACAGTATGCATCTATCACTTATAAGGTGGATCTATCACTTATAAGGTGGATCTAGCAAAGAAGTCTGCATAGTACCTTATGCAATTATTCAGTTAACAAACCAGGGTTACTTGGGAACTGCATGAATCATATTCCTGGTGGGTTGGTATTATTTAAACTGTGGTAACTGAAATTTGTGTCCACTGGAAGTACACAAAGAAAGATAGATGCCTAATTATATGCATCTTAGTATATTAAAGATATCATCAATAAAGAAAAAGTGAACTATAGCTACAAACCATGGGATGACTGGGACTCGTCATCACTGTCATCCTCTTTTCTTCCTTTCTTCTTGATTTTTTTAATTTTGTATTCTCTGGCATTGCCCCCACCTCCTCCTCTCACACTTCCACTGCCCTCTGGTGGAAAATGACATAGTTAGTCTTATATAATTAAATCCTATTTTTAAAAAGTGATGATACCATATGGTTGCATTTAAATTTACAGCAGAAAAAAATACAAGGCAAAACAATTAAAAAGAATCTATGATTCTTTTAAGCCTAATATTTCCTTATTTATATACAAGTGGTAAATTCAACCAATAAAATTAACAAAAAACTGTTTGAATTTAAGCAATCTTAGCCTGCTTTCTTCAGATACTGTATCTTCCTTCTCCAACATCACCCCTTTTCTATATCCATCTGATTTTTGGTTAGGCAAATCCATTCTTTCTCTCTTCTTCCCCTCAAAGAAATGTACCTTCATCTCATCTGTTATTACAGCGTCAATACTCTCTATTATATTCCTTTACAAATGTAACTCTACTTGGTGTGTTCTTGATTGAAAGATTACTATCTACCCTTACCAGAGGTCTGATGAATGAGACTCTCCCAGCACTCAACCCGATCATGAATCTCTTGAGACAAATAAGAGTATCTCAGTGTTTGTGTGCTTGGTGTTAACAGCAATGCTTGAAATATAGCAGGTGCTCAGTAAGTGTTGACCATGAGTATTAAACTCGTTATACAAAAAAATATATATCTAAATTAAAAATATAAATTACAAAAAAAAATATAAATTATGAAACAAACTCATACACTGTTAAGTAACAGTTAGAACACATGCTATGGATTGAACCTGAAAGGCCTGTGGTAAGCAGCTCTGTTCTGCCATCCCTCCTTGCCATGCCAATGTGCCTCATGACAGGCACAATGACGCCAAGTGACAGTGCAAAATCATGAGCCCAAATAAGCTTTGCTTCCTTTTCTACTGTGTACTCAGGCATTCTGTCACACTGACAGAAGCTAACAGAGGTATTATTAAAGTTTCCCTGTCACTAGAAATTTAAATTTAAAATACGTATTCTACCAAATAGAGTATCTGAAGTATAATCCAACACTGAAAAATACTGAAACTGCATTTCTTCATACAAGATTTTTCAAATAAATTCAAGTGATTTCTATAACCTAAAGATGGTTACCAAATCTAAGTGGAATTATATTAGGTTTCATCATGTCTTAGAAAAATTCTATTAAAATGAAAAATGATGAAAGAAACTGGCAGGAGGACAGAGAGGAAAGTGTGGTTGTTCTCTTGAGGAGTTAGGAAATTCTGAGAAAGGGACATTTAGTGTACAGCTCTGAAAGAAAAGAAGGAAGCAGTTACTTGATGTTCGCGAGGGTACTTCAGAGGTAAGGAGCACACTGAGCTGAGCATGAATGTGGCACGTCTGAGCATTCACCGTGAACAAAGGTCGATACTGTGCTGAAGAGGGACACAGAGTGGAGGAGGGAACGGAGACGGCACAGTCATCAAGTTAAATTATTTCTTTTCACAAAAGAGAACAGGATATATAATTAATAATATTTCAATTCACGTGATTAAACTTAATTCATTGGTAAAAAATCTGGTTGATATTAGCCATGAAAAGAAAGAATCAAAATCAAATCAAAGGCCTTTCAAAGGGCTTAAGAAATGCAGTTTATTGCCAACAAATGAAATCCTCATCTTTGAATTTTTTTACTAATAATTATTTATTACCTGTTGCTTTCCTCCTGCGCTCATCTTTTTTATCCTTTTTATTTGTGTTAACATTTTCTAAAATGGAGACTTGTTTCAGATCTTCTTCAGTGATTAAATGCACAGGATTATTTCTTATTTCCTGAAATAAAACATGCTTTTTTTGAAAGGCAAAAATAGATAGCATTTAAAATGTATTAGAGCTGCTTATGTATTCACTTACATTCTAATTATTCTTGTTTCACCTCATTGCTGAGAAGAAATTTCTTACCTCACAACTACTATTCTCACTTCTCCCTGCTAAAACTCAGTTTCTGTATTTGCTCTTCTAGGTTTTTTGTATCTACTAGCTAATGAGTATGTGTGACCAATGAATAACCGGTCACACAGCATCAGGTGTAACTCTCTGCAGCTGTAACTATCTAATGTTAACACTGTTTAACCATTTAGGGGTAGTGTTCCATTTTGGAATGGCCATAACAATGGAACTTAATACAAATTTTTCTCTTCAAACTTTTGTTCCCTGAATTTTTCTAGGTAACACAAATTTTAAAATTCCAACTTGCTGCATAAATGGATTAACTCCCTTTTTTTGAGACTCCCAAGTCTAGTGTCACCTGAATACCTGAGGTTACAAGAAAGATAATGAAATTGTCATATTCCATACTCATGATCATATATCATATATGAACTGGGCATAATTCACATAAACCCATTTTTCTTCTAGTCTCATTCTTAATGGTCCTGATTTTAAAAATTCATATTAAGACCAATGTACTATTTTCAAGTTGAAAGATTTATTCTTTCTCACAGTTTTGAAAGGATTCTATAATCTTTACTAACAGATACACATTTTCATGGTAAAAATGTTACTTTCTTTTAGGTTTTCTAGAAAAAAAAATGCTTAGAATGTCAACAGTTCAAGTAATAAAATCACCTTTTTCTGAACTTATTTTTGTGGTTTAGGAAAAAAGTCCAAGAAAAGAAAAAAAGTAATTATTATATTTTTACTAAATAAAAAATCATAAATAGTAATCAAATAACTAGTACCTAAAATCTGCTACAAATTTTATATAAAGCCCTTTATTTATATTTGTAGAGGAGGCATCCTTTTTAATTTTGAAGATAAAACAAAAACAAAAACAAAAGCAAAAACTGGAGGTCTACTTGTCCAATATAAAATGAAGCGCTAACTGCAAGTAATATTTTGGAGAAAGTATGTTTTAATATATACACAAAGTAAAATGCAATAGAAATGGATCATTTGTTATATTGTACTAACACAGTATATATACAATGAATATTTATACATATCCATACATAAGTTTTTCTACATTAACTGAACCAGTATGTTCCGATAATCTAGCTAAAAATTAGGTAGTTTCATTTATGCAATTTAATTTCTAAAACTGTTTCTCTAAATTTTTTTTTTTTTTTTTCATTTTTATTGGTACCAGGGATCTAACTCATGACCGCCTGCTTTGCAAGGCAGGTGTTTAGGCCACTGAGCTAAATCCCCAGCCCCTAGTTTCTCTAAATTTTGATATACATTGATGGTAATGAAATCTGAAAAAGAAAATAAAATGATCCATTACAGGAAAATAATATATGACATAAAATATTCATTACTGTGTAGACCACTCAGCCCATTTTTAAAAAGCTATCAGAGATTCTAATATGACAATTTTTAAGATTAACGATGAAAGGGTATCTGACATACCTTTTCAGCTTTTTGGTGCATCTGTTCACTGAACAGTTCTATACAGTCATTTATAAATTTTTCACTGACCACAACAGTGTTGCTAAAAATTACACCTGAAGCCTGTTTGTTGAATGCTCTCATCACCTGTTGAAGCAACATGGCAGCATCTTCAATGGATAAAGAACTGGGTAGCAGGGGCTAGAATTACAAATGAAAATGAAGTGAAAATACAGTATGACCCAGATAAACCGATTGTTACTACAGAGAAACACACACACATGTATATGAATGTATTTAAATGCATATAAATATGCTCTTGTAGGTTATCAAAACCATGTTTACACTGATAATTCCTCAAATTTTATTTCTGGTTTCATCACTACCCTATGCTGCAGAATCATATATCCTATTTCCTATCTAATTTACCTATTTATATGACACCTCAAACTGTCCAAAGCACTCACACCTATAAATCACTTTTACAAATCTCTTATACAAATTCACAAGCAATTTACCAGTTTACTTCTAAAATGCATTTCTTCTTGGCTTTATTATCTGACATCATTTTGATTAATTCTCCCAATGAAAGTATTCCCTCCCAAGAGCAAAAGCTTCATACCAAATAAATTCTGTAGCATGAACAAAACTTGGAAATTTTAGCATCCAAAAGTGGACATTATCTAATCAGGCTCTAATCCTGACTAGAAAGTAATGGATTAGCTACTTATTCATCTTTACCTACATTTATCGTTTTGGAATAATGAAGGGCAGGCCAACATTGAACACTGAAGTAAAACACTGTCAGTGGTGCTTACGCAGCTTCTGTTAATACATTAAGAGATTAATGGATAAGGGATAAACAAATGCTACACAATGCCTGATGTCAGTACAAGAAGTAAGTACTTGGATAAGATGTAAAAAATTTTATCAATTTTCATGTCAGGATTTATAAGAATTTTGTTCGTTTGTTTTGAAAATTGTAGAATTTTGGATGTTGATTATGCACCCATAAAAAGAAGGTCACTCTATTGCAAAAGGTAGAAAGACTCTAAGCATAAAATAACATTATTTTTGTTTCAACAGTTACTGCTAGAATTCAACTTTACAATCAAGACTACTTTTATGTATCCTAATCTTTAAAGCAGCCACGTATTAACAAAATATCACTTATTGTTAAAGAAAAATTAAGAGGAAAAAACATACTGAAATATCAACCCAACTTCCAGAGCTGATGGCTTCTTCTACTGATGCTTCCACTTGATCCACAAGTCCTTGACCAACACAAGCTGCTTTCAAAAATAAGAGTTGTGTAGTCTTATATCTTTTCTTTATGTAGTTTACAGCATCTGGGATTCCAAGTCGGGATAAAGCGTCAAATTCTAGAAATACATCACAAAGTTGGATAGAACTGTTAACCAATTACACGTTTTAGAAAATCAGAATAAGTCAACTTCTATCAAAACCTATTACTTGCTTATAAATATAATGTATTCCAGTATTTTTAAGGAATAAAACAAAATTGTATTATAGCCTGTTTCCTGATAATTTTACCATCATAAATTTTGATTAAAAATATTTTTTAGACAAATTGGTTCAGGCATTTCCTGAACACCAGGCATTATTCACGTTTTAACTGAAGGACCAAAGGAAAACATGAAGAAACCTGAGGACTACAGAGCATGAAGATTGAAAAATAGGGGTAAAAGAGGTAGTTGGTGATTTAGGTGAAGAAACAAAAAGTAGTATATAAGTTTATTACAGTTAAAGGAGTGAAATTTACTTTTCAAAATGTATCACCAGACAACTGTAATTCTCTAGTCTTATTTAAACTAGAAAAAGATTTAGCATGAAAAGACTTAAACTGACAGATATTATAATGACTGAAAATATCAATCCTCCTCATTCTCCAACTCCTACTGAGAATAATCCTCAAAAACTCTAGTTACAAAAGAATTCTAATCCAAGTTCTGTGGTTCAATATACTGAAAAACAGGACACAGGAGGTTAAAAGATCATACAAACCTTGGGATCCTAGCACATGTTGAAATTGGTCATTACAGGTTTCTTTTTCTTTTGGTTGTAGCACTGGGGATTGAGTCCAGGTCTCTGCACAGATTAGGCAAGTGCTCTACCACTTAGTGGCACCTTCAGCTCCTTATGTTTTTAAAACTGGCTGTTTCACTAAGCTGCTTAGCCTGGCTTTGAGCTTGTAACCCTCTTGCCTCAGACTCCTGAGTGGCTGAGACTGCCAGCATGTCCCACCAGTCATTAAAGGTTTTATACTGAGAATGTGGTTTGTTGTGTATACATTAGTTAAGCTAACTAAATTTAATACGTATTTTTGACTTTTGTTTGAATGACCAAATTCAGTCCATTATGGCAGAATCTCTAAAACAATTCAGAATGATTTCAATGTTCTGAAGTATTAGACAGCTAACAAAAATGAACACTGTGAAGTTCACAGACAGTAAGATAGTCCTAAAATGATATAACTGAAAAAGCGCACAACTTCCTGCAATATAAGATTTAATTATTTTATGAATTAAAAAAATACTTAAAAATTTAGTATAAGTTTAACGTAACTGGAAGGTTAATAACAATACTAGCTTTTGTTTTTCTACATTACAATTGTTTAGTAACTGTGGAATTAAGCTCAGTTCTAAGATCCACAGAAACCTTAAATGTGAGTATTTTTATACTCAAAAGAAAACCATTACACTCTGGTAGGAAAATATATGTGGACTTAAGGGTTAGTATAATGCTTTCTTTCAAAGAATGTATTAGTATTAGAAAGAAATGTTAGCTTCCAGGGGAAAAAAAGCATAGTTACCGAGATAGCCATTCTGCCTGAAAAAAGAATCCACCCAAGCATTCTGTGTCCTGGAGTAGATGTCAGGGACAAACAATGCTTTATCCTGTCTTCCACCAACCACTGTGCCTCGTAAGCGTCCACAATTAACAAGTTCTTCAAGTACAGCTTAAAAGAGACCCATACAAATACATATCAATCACAAGTATAAATCTTAAAAAGTGAAATATTTTATTAATGTTCCATATAATCTTACCATTTTAATAATTTAAAAGTTTAAACAGCATAAATGAAATTATTATATTTGAAACAGAATTTCCCTGTCATTTGTGAGAATATTCAGTAAAAACGTAGAGAAATTTTGAGCAACTAGTTAAAGAGGTTGAAATTGTAATGCAAAATAGTTAATATTCATGCTCTGGAATTTACTAGCTCTGATAATCTTGAACAAAAACCAAAATGCCATTATTAACTGCATGATTTATTTTACAGTGAACGCTCAAACACTTTGAGAACGGGTAAGGGGCAATCACTAAGTGCTACCAAGTTCAGTTTTTTCATTCTTAGAAAAATCAAGACAACTGGACCACAAAAGGGCCAGCAGTGTGAAATAAAACTATAACTATTTCTTATGTTACTACATTTCCACAGTTTAAACCAAAAGAACACATTTTAACTATGAGAAATTTTTGTTATTGGTTGATTTCTTGGCCATTCTTTCTGGAGGGAGATGGAATCTCAGCATTGTTTTAATTTACGTCTTTCAAATGACCAGTGATGTTGAACATTTTTTCATATCTTTATCTGCTGTTTCTACTTCATCTGAGAAGTGTCTTAAATGTGAGTATTTTTATATTCATTTCAGATGGCTATTTTTCGATTGGGTCTTTAAATCTGTGGAATCTTAGATTCTTCTGAGTTTTTTATATATTCTAAGTATTAGTCCTTTATCTGAGGAACAGCTGGCAAAGTGTCTCCCTGCACTGTGGGTTACCTCTTTAATCTATCGGTTTTTTGTTTTGTTTTGTTTTGTTTTGGTTGTATGCAAAAGTAAGATGATATCAAACTTGCTGATTTGTGATATTTCTTGTGTGATCAGAGTTTCGTTCATAAAGTCTTTGCGAACACCAGTATCTTCAAGAGTTCTATCTTTCTCTCTTACAGCATTTTAACATTCAGATCTTCAATCCACTTTGATTTTAGTTTAGTATATGATAGAAGATATGGATCGAGTTTTCAAACAATAACAAATGCTAGTGTGGCTGTGGGAAAAAAGGAATCTTTCTCTACTGGCGGTGGGAGTATAGGCTGGTACAACCACTGTGGAAATCAGTATGGAGATTCTTCAAAAACTAAAATGAGAAGTTCCATTGGATCCTGCAACTTCTCTTTTTGGTATCTTCCTGAAAGAATTAAAAGCTTCATACCACACTAATTTATGCATGCTCATGTTTATACCAGTATAGTTCACAATAGCTAAATCTTAGAAACAGCCCAAATGCCCATCAACTGATGAATGGCTAAAGAAGATAGCTTTTTATAGAATGGATAAGCTTGACACACTTCTAGCTACTCTTAGGTAAGTAAGTAAACTGGAAACACATGTTTAAACACTGCATTGTATTTCTGGTGTGAGAAACTTAAAAGTATAAATAAGGATCAAAATGTCTAATAGATATCGGGAAATGGGATGACAATGTTCAAATAAGAAGAGAAACAAAGAAGGGTAGAGGGGGAGAGGAAGGAAGGCACAAGGGGAAAAATGGAAACTAATCTTTTATAAATAAGAGGATGAGGGGAAGAAAAGAGGAGAGGGGAATGGAAAAAAAGATGTATCACATACAGGCACAAATCCTCTATGATGAATGATCACTATGTGTATGTAAGAAAGAGAGAAATAAAATGCCACAATTAAAAGAATAGATGACAGAGCCATATTACGTAAGTCTAAATCTCGATTCTACCACCTAACTAGCTTTATAATACTGGGTAAGTCATTTCCTTTATGTTTTCATTTTCCTGTCTCTGAAACAGGGATGGTAACAATTCTTATGCACAGTGTTGCTGTAATCAAGTAAAGTACTTGGAAGAATAGTTAGTACAAGGTAAGTACTTGCTAAGCTAAATGTTATCTAAATGCAACACCAACATATCATCCATCAAAAGATTGTGGCCTATTTGAAAACTGGAGTATAATACCATTAATGTAAACTTATGCTTTTTATTTAAAACAGCAAATCAACTAAATATTTTTTGCTTTAACTAGCAAAATCCTCTTAAAAAGACGAAGTAGATAGAAAACGATTACTTCTAACTGAATCAGAAAGTACAATCAAAAAGTGTCTGGCACAAAGAAAGGATTATAAAAATTAGCCTTTGACATAAGTCAAAATTAATTTATAAATGAATTTCAGAATCAACGCTGAGTAAAATAAGTATAGATTTTTCAATAGATTGAAATGTTTGATTCTTAACAGTGTGATTATACAAAAACCCATTCTAAACTCTGAACAAAAATTTCAAGTTATCAATTATTACCAGAAGAATTTTACATTATAATGAAATAGTGCTAATTGTTGATCTGTTTAACTCGGGCTCAAGCAGAAATTTTAAATTTAATATTCATGTTCTGGAAAATACAGTAAACAAAAATTAATTTTTAGTTCTATATACTGAATTTGTTTTCAACTCTTCACTTTAATTCTTAAATTTCCAGATATCTGAGTTAAAAGCTAAGTCCTTGCTTTAAAAAATTACTCCAGTATAACATTAAAAATAACCCTTGATATCTCATTAGAACTTTATAAAACATGCAAACCACAGATACTGAACCAAGATTATTCGGAGATAATTATGTTGTTTGAATACTAAGAATTTAGCAATACAGTATGTTGATGGCTACAAACTCTCTATAAAACTTTTTTTTAGGAAACACAATTTACTTTAATTTTAAAATTTAATAAAAAACCCTAAGAAACAAAGAAAAAATTATTCATAATCTTACAATTATAAATGTAAGACAGTGTATGTACATATGTATTTTCATTTTGTGAACATTTTCCTTTCTTCATTCCACTCCTCTGAAGATGCTGATACTAATGTCTCATGGGTCTACCAGATAGATAAAAACATGAAAACATACAGAAAATTTTTCAAATAATGAAATATTTTTAATAACGTAAGTCTCAATATTAACTGTTAAGTTTTGAATTAACAATCTGTTCAGCATGGTACAATTTAGATAATTTGTCTCCCAAGGTCTATGTGTTAAGGGGTTGCCTTCCAGACTGGTGCTCTTGGTAGGAGGTGGAGCCTAGTGGGAGGTCACGGGGTGGGAGGGGCGCCCTTGAGGGGACTGTGGAATGACAGCCACCTCCTCTCTGTGTGTGTTTCTTGGCTCCTGAGTTAAGTGGTGCTGCTCTGCCACAAGCTCCCCACTATTATTTAGCATGCCTACCAGCTACCCACAGAAATGAGGTCTCCCAGTGTTGGACGGGAAACTTAAATAAGACTGTGAGTCAAAATAAGCACCCTTACTTTTTGTTCTTTTTGTTTTGTGGTGCTGTGTGTCGGGAATTGAATATAGGTCTTTGTGCGTTCTAGGCAGATGTTTAAAATGCCCTACCACCGAGCGACAGTTCCAGCCCAAACCTTTTCTAAGGTAATTATCTAAGGCATTTCACTTCAGTGTCTGAAAGCTGACTTAACATAAGCATGACATAACTCATAACACAACATATTTGTGTGTGTGTGTGCGCACACACGTGTGCACATGTGTGCTGGGGATTGAACCCAAAGCCCTGAACACACTAGGCAAGCACTCTACTAGCAATCTACGCCCTGAGCCCAGATGATACTCAGTTTATACAGAACTCACAGTAAAGAAGCTGCTCCTGAAACCCATATTTTGAAATCAGAGAATTCACTGCAGTTGGCCTGCACAAAAGGAAAAAAGAAAAATGAAGAATTGAAAGTAGTTCATTATAGTTATATAGGAATTTGTAAAAATCCTTAAGAGAATTAGAGTTTCCAGGAAAACCAATTAATTTAAAAGGAAAAATGACGTGATGGCTGCACTATGTGTCCTTACTCTCGTTTCACAGAAGCTCCCCTTCTATCCGTTTAGTAAATTGGGATCCTCAGAGAGATTTTAAAAACTAAAACAGAAGAAGAATCACCTGCTAGGAAAAAGTGCAAAATCATATCTAATCTAATAACTATATACAAATCTATATACTTAAAACATGCTTACCGGGTAATAGCACTAAATAGTCCACGAATGCGTGCTTTATGTCGAGCTACAAAGGATTCAGTGAAAATGACTCCTCTGTTATCAAGATCAAGACGTCCATTAATAATTTTACCGAGTCGCTGAGTTAGCGCCTGGAGATAAAGATGTAAATTTTTATTAATGCAAAAATACAAAATTAAACATATGCTTGGTAGTCATATTCAATTCAAGCTTCATGCAGATGTATCAATCATGTGACTAAGAAATTTTGATAAGAATAAATTATAAGATATATAAACTAAAATGAAAGTTCAGAGTCTAATAAACTTCATAATAACAGGGCCAAGAAGTAAGTCAAATCACTTCTATGATTAAAAGCTTAGCAATCATATTAGTCCTTGTTAATAAGGTCTATTTCTATTGTAAAATAAAAATGATTCGATATTTTAGATTTACATAGCTTCCAACAAAAAATGGTCAAGACTTATACATATATGTATCAGAGAAAATCCTCTCTAGAGCTTCAAACACTAACAGATGTTAGTGTTATTCCAAGATCCTGCTACTAAGGGAAATATAACGCTGGAAAATAATTTTCTCATACAAATATTAACTCATCTCTGTGTAAAGGATTTAAATTGTTTATTGGTGAAATAAGTCCTGAACTTAAGAGCATTTAAGTTGTGAATTTTCACAAAAATGAACAGACCTGACACTATGAATATCCATAGATGTAAATAAATCACAGAAGTAGTTCATGTGACTGTGGGACACTGTCACAGTTGTGTTGCTGTGTGCTTACGGTACTGTGTGACAGTGTAGAGTACACGGTGCTCGATCAGAGCCCAGGATATCCAGAAGAAAGATGAGAAGGAGAGGTGATGTGGATGGAGGTGTTGTGGAGGGGACTGCTAGGAAACACAAAGCAATATACACTGTATGTTGTCCAAGATGTGTAACACTCACTTTTTGGACTTATAGGCGAATCCAACTTAGGAATGTTCTCCTAGAATGGGTCTCATTTGTAAGTAAGTCAGAGACTTAACTCATTTTCAGACTTGAGAGACTATTACTTTACAGTTATACTATGTTTGGGGTCAGGTACATGTGAAGTAAGTCTGGACATATTTCACATCCCCAAATAAGTTAAATCTACTGAAGATAGCTCACTTGGTACTTTTGTGATGGAAAAAAGTACCCTAATTAGTTTTTAGGATATAGAAAAATTAGAATTAAAAAATATTAACAAGAGATGTATTTCTAAAAACTATGTAGGAGCAGTTTTTTTAAAAAGTCATTAGATTTAAATCTGATATTTTGAAAGTGTTTTAAAAACAGTGTTTTACTTTCTGGGATTAACATGTATTTGCTCATGTGAAACAGAATTTAGGCTCCTGAAATGCTATATAAAACAGATTTATATTCTGTATGTGGTATTTTAAATGTAACTAGGGAAACTCTCTTAACATAGCTCAATAAGTTTGTTTGCATTACAAATTAACCTCATGCAATTATGATTTGGTAAGTTTTTAAGTTGGATTTTCTTAAAATGATATGCAGGTAAAATGAGATTGGATTTTTCCTTCATTTCAGTAAATAAAAACAAAATTATGACTTTGGTCTGACAGATATTTTACTAGATATAGCTCATTCGAGCCTATGAAAATAGATACAATTATCGCCATTTTACAGATATCCAACTTGAAGTGCAAAGGAAATGGAATAATTTTCTTAATGTCAAATAAGTAAATGTCATAGACAGGATTTAAATCAAGCTCTGTTTAACTCAAAGCCTGTGTACTTTGTATTATATCAAAAGGGCTTCTACAATTCTAAAACGTGAAACTACTTAAAACAAATAGCTTCTATTGTTATTATACTATAAATCAAGGTACCAACATAAGAACCCACAGTTATGAATGTGAAATTCTTTGGCTGTTCCACCCATCATACTGTTAGTTTAGAGGCAAAGGGGAAAAGGTGGGGGCATCAAAAGATACTGGCACTATTAAAATTTTTGTCAAAAACATCCATTGCTGGAGATCCTGTCTTTATATTCTATGATGGTTAGCAGCATCCCTGACTTTCACTTACATGGGCCAGCAGTGCACCCTCTAACTTACAATCTTCAACAGTTATTTCTTAAGCTATAAGTGGCCACTTAGAACTGAAGATATACTGGGTAAAATTTCTCTATAGGTATTATCAGAAACACTACATAAATTTATGCACTTACGGTATATTTACTGTTACATCAAGACAGTGCTAGAGCTCAGTCTATTAAAAGTTTCTAGAGTGTCTTATGGTTCAGAAACATTCTAAGTACTTTTAAACAATCTCTTCAGAGCTATCCATGTACAGGAAGTATTCCCCAAATATATAGCTACAACATGTATCAAGTCATATATTCACAACAAATCCAGTGATGCTAAGAAAATCTGGTGTTTTTCACTCATTAAAATCCCCTGTTTAAAATTATTTGTTCAAAAGACACATTATGCTAGTAAGGAAAAATACCTGTGTTAGAAAGTTTCCAGGAAGATCATAGGTTTTACACAATTCTGAAATGGTTACTTGACCACTTTCTTGCAATTTATCATTTACCTCTTCTGCTAACCGATCCAAATAGCTCCTAATATTGAGCAAAAGAAAGAAAGAAAATAAAAAAATCAATTAGAAATAATGGTTTTCCTACATTTTCTCTTTTATGTTTAATTTCTGTTGAAGAATATGCTCCAGAAGTAATGAGAGATAAACACCATTTATAACATAAAATTGTTTCCTTGTCATCAAGGTAGCTAAACATAAGGTTACTCAAACGTTAAATTTTGGGATTTTCAACCAGTGGAAATTTTACAGTCATTTTCTCACTAAGAATTTTGGAAAAAAAATTTGTTTTTAGAGTTAAGTTTTTGTTAGTTTGTATAAAGAGGTAAAAACATATACTATTTATGAGTATATATTACACATAATTAAGCACTTGCTTTTTAAATGGGATGATCCTTATAATGAAAATCAGTTCTAAACGAAATGTCTTCCTGTGTCTATTTGGTCTGCATGTAAATACTACCTGAATAAAAAAAGAAAAGAGTCCTTCTAAATATTGTACTTACTCATCTATTAGCTGTCCCAGAACCACATGGACGTGTTTTTCTGATTTAACAATGTCACTAATTCTATTTTCAATATGAGTCAAATCAACATTAATTACCTGGAAAATACACAGATATTTTATTTAAATAAGTTGTTAATGTTTCTTAAGTTTGAAGATTTCAAACTATATTTTTTAAGAAGTTATTTGATCTTCGATAAATTTCAAACTGATATGAAATATTTTTAAAACCCTCAGTAAAATGAAAAATTGAGAAACAGAACTTCTTTATTTTCAATATTAAGAATTACTTTTAAATGCTAGGAAATGTACATTAAGTAGTAACAATATTTACATATAACAGATATCATTTCACATATTTTCTACTTTCTAAGTTTATAATGTACTTTGGCAATCACATTTGCAGTTTTTGAAAATATCTCCTACATTTTACTATTAGTTTTTTACTTCCACATTCTCAAACATAAATGTGAAACTAGTAATTTTTCTTACAAAATTACAAAAATTGGAACTACATAAAATCGTATTTGAGTTGATTTGGTAAGCAGTAAGCAATCAAACAACAAAGAACTTAGTAAATCAATCCAATGTATCAGAATTTATTAAATATTTCAATACTATCAGTGAGGGTTTTATAACTATTTCTTTACACATATTCAAAATATAACTATCACTGAACGCTTTAAAAGGCACTGAGTTCATAGCATTAAATTTTGAGAAACCAAAACAAAAACCAAGTTTACCTGTTGTAGATCAACAATGTTAACTCGACCTTTAAAGAAAAGATACGCATTTAAATTAAATGTAAGTACAAACTAGCTAAGCAGTGTAAATTCTAATAGGTATGTTTTGAACAGTTCAAATCGTTCTACAATTATAAAGAGCCATGATCATTAATGCCTTCACCTGTAAACCATCTGCTAAGTTTTCATGGCTGAAGGTATAAGTGATAATTTATTTTCCAAACTTTTTAAATCACAGAAGGCTGATCAGCTAACACATAACGACTCTGAATTTATTTATTGTGATCAGAGATTTTGATAACTAATTAAGATGAAATTTTTTCAAATTATTTGAAACTAAAAGGTAGGTTTCTAACGATTAGCAAAAGAAAATCTATTATATACTCCAAATTATAATTCATGTTATTAGAAGTCTGCAGACAAAAAAGTAAACACCAAAGCTGCACTCCAAAACATGTAGCAAAGAGTTGCTTCTATTTTAATCAGCGTGTATTCAATATGCTCAGTAATTTGTTCAAAGTTTAAGAAAGCAAAAGAATACAATTTTTGTGTATGTACTGGTAATAACAGCATTTCGTTTAATGGTACATATTCGAAGTTAATTTGTAAATACAAGTTTTTTTCTCTTTTAAAGGGATAGTAAAAGAGCTTTGATTTTTTTGAGAATTTATAGTCTTTTAAAAATCTCTGACCTCCCTCACAATTACCACCTGTTAACCAGCAGCTAAGTACTATCCTTTGGGTCATATAATACATTAATGAACTGTAAAAAGAAACAGTTAATTCACATAAAACACATATAACTCAAAATAATAAAAACTATTATTTTGATAAGTGATAATACCTGAGCACGAGCCTACCAAAAATACTAAAGCTGATTATCAAGTTAACAACTGAGAAGTGCAATACAGTTCAATGATAGTGTGTGCTTAACATTTGAGAAGCCCTGGATTTTTCCTCCCCTAGGAACTGGAAAGAAAAAACTTGAGAAAGATGTTCTATAACCTCTAAAGAATGCACGCATTAGATAGTTATGATTTTAAAGTAGGCTTTTTCCAGGATTGGGGAACTACTGAGATATTACTTACCGCCTCGGACATGCAGCTCATCTTTCATTTCCTTACTAATCTGAGCTGGAGTAATATATTCTTTTCCATCAAGTGTGTGAACTACTTCTAGCTGTTTCTGAGCAATCAGTTTATTCACAATCTCAATACAGTTCCGCTCTGACAATCTGAGGGGAAAATTTTTTTTTAGAAAATTTCGATAAATTGGTATTCAGTAAAAAATAAAAGAGTATACCAAAACAGACTTTCAATAAGTTTGGGTAGAGTCACTACATATTTAAAAATCTATACCTTTCATAGTACAATACTGATTCAGTAACTTAAAAAAATCCCGAGAGTAAGAAGGTTTACATACACTTAAATCATTTACTTAGCTGATATATATCATTTTAGAAATGGCAAATTTCCTTTCTTTTGGGCCTGTTTTGAGTCTCCAAGTACGAATAAAAAACTGAGGACAAGTAATTTAAGTAGAAGAACACTTTGTTTTACTTCGGTTTTGCTTTTTTTTTTTTTTTTTTTTTTTTTTTTAAGTGCATTCAGGCCTCATTCATTCACTTGGTCTGCAGACAGGAGATTTGTACTATTAAATACATAACTGTTACTGGACCGCCACCCACTGTACCAGGATTTGTTTGTTGTTATCTCTCAGTGCTATAAAGCACAGCATTAAGCCTACTGTCTCTGGGTCAAGATGTAATAACAATTCTAAATAAAAACAGTGAATGGATATGAAGGATGCTATTCGCTATCCATAGTAACAACGTACAATGTTGGGGTATTTCAGAGACAACCTTCAAAGTTTCACAGGTTTGTAGAAAACGTCAGGGGCCTGGAGCCCCTAAAAATAACAGATGGCATCAGGGGTCTGGCCTAGATCTGTCACTATAACCAAAAACGTAGGAAAACTTTGAAAGATGATTGTGCTCTTTGCAAAGTCTACATTAGCCTCTCCCTTCACACTCAAAGGGTCACAAGTGCTGCGGGGACGAAGGCCGCGGGGACCCGGCGGCGGCTGCGGGGAGCAGGGCGCAGGCACAAGTAGGGAGCTCCCAGACCCGGCATCCGTCGGGGTTGGGGCGGGGCGCCAACTCCGGGGTGCAGAAGGACCAGACGCCAGGGGTCTTCGCCCCGGGTGTCCTGACCGTGACTTGGACTCGAAACTGTGGCCCTGGCTCGGGAGGCCAAGGTAGGAGCAGGGGCCTAAGTCTCAGTTCCAAGGAGGTCTATCCTAATTTGGGCCTAATTTGGGTTCCACAGTGGAGAGGGAGAGTCCGGCACCTCTGCGTGGCCTCGGCGAACTGCGCCCGCTGGAAGTCAGCAGCCAACCGCCTAATCTCTTCCCAGGCATCCGCCATCGCTGCCGGACTCGCGGAGACGCCGAGGACCAGCAGACACGTCAGCCCTATGAGCACTGTAGGGGGCGGGGCAAGACGGGACGGGCCGCGCGGAGGGACAAGACTCTCCGCCTCTGACCTAATACCAAATGCGCATGCCCAGCTCGGAGGCGGCGCAGCAGCACTCGGCCCCGCCCACCCTCTGCAATGGAGGCGCTCGCCCTGCTGACGCGGGCTGTGGAGACCTCGTATGGGATGGTGCCCAATCGATGAGGAGAAACACTAACTTTGCAAAGGGTTTTTTCAGATGTTTGCATTATTCTTATTGATCCAAGGAGTGATAGGTAATCACCTTTTCCTTCGGTTGTGTTTTTAGGGAGAGTGGGAGGGATGGAGAGGCGCTCACACCTACCATCAGTGTCCCCTCTTCTTTCTCCGGCTGTTAACTTTGTCCAGTTCAGTTTGTTTGGGAAATTGTTTATATTTTTCCTGGGCCTAAAGCGTAGTGCCTTTCGAGGAGACATATAGGATCGGTAGAGTTGCAATTTACTGTGAAGTGCCTTTCTCTTGCTGTTGTACTTTAGAACTCACTGGTCACTTTAAAAAGACATTATTCTTTTTCATCAGATGCCCTGCTAATAAAGTTGGTAAAAGAGGAGTTACTTCAGTAACGTTCCCACCTGTTATTTTGGATAACTCACATCCATTGGCATGGAGGTACTTATGCTAATTTTTAGCTTTATTTGAACTTGTCTAGAGCTGTCATAAAAGCTGTCAGTGAGTACTAGACCCATGAGGCTGTCTGGCAATCTGATGTGGACCGACAAATGGAACCCTAGAAATCAAAGGGTCAACTTGGAAGATGGTAGACTGTTCCAACTACTTCAGGCTGTGGAACAAGCAGAAATATTTATTCATAAGCCATAAGTATTGATTGATTAGTCACGGAGTACACTGGTGGATAAGGAAGACATAATATTGCCATAACAAATCACAAATCCAATAACGTGGATTTAAACAATAAGTACTTAAAATGAAGTATAAAAATTCGAAGAATATTGCAGTGCACACCTGTAAACCTAGCTTCTGGAAAGCTGAGGCAGGAGGTAGCAAGTTTGAGCCCAGTCTGAGCAATTTAGCACTTAGAGAAAGCCTGTCTTGAAAAAAAATGTGTGTATTTTGGGGAGGAAAGAGGAGTGAGGGTTGCTCAGTGTGAAGGCTTTGGGTTCAGTCTCCAGTACAAGAAAAAGTAACCAAACAAACAACAATAATAATGTATTATGTGACCAGTTGGCATTCAAATTTTTGCCTGTCATTTGGCTTCCTGTTAACATCTGTTGCTGGTGCTGCTGGTACCACTGCATTCTGCAATGTGGAATAGCTAGTGGGTAAAAGCCATACTAAGCCCTTTCATCAATCCATGCGCTTTCTCCAATGCCTGTGTGATATCTTAGTCCCCATTCATCCGATGTTACTTTGCAACATGTTCTTCCAAACTTCTGAATGGGAGATATTTCAGTTTTACCCAGTATCTGGCAAAATTTAGAGAAACTAAATAATATAGAGTATGACTAGAATAATAACAAGAAAGCTAAGTAGCTATTTGATAGGAAATGGGACACTTCTTTGAAGAGTGATCTTTGTATATATTTAGCGAATAGAATTTTCATTCTCTACAAATTTTTTAATAGCTATGTTTGTGTCCTCAATTTAAGGTGAATTTTGAAATTTAGGTAATTTTCAAAGGACTGATAGAATCTTCAGCTATACTATGTACTGATTTGTGACATTCCCACTCATTTGTTAGTTTTTCTTTTAATTGATGCATAAAAACAAAAATTAAACATAATAATTGATATATATATGTATATTTATCCACATATATAACATTTAAATCATTTGTCATTTAAATTATCTGTCATTTCTCCATCATGAAAGCATTTGATATCCTTTCTTTTAGTTTTTGAGATACTGACAGTGTTAGTTGTATCACTGACATTTTTGGGGTTAAAAAGTTTAGAATTAGCTTAATTGTACCATCAAAAATGACAAAAAAAAACCCCTATATATAAAATGCAACATTTCCTTAGGAAACTACTATGAGTTAATAATAGGAGAGAGAAAAGATACTTGAAAACAAAGAAGTAATTGGAAAAGCAAGAAAGTAGAGAAAAATAGCAAAAATACCACTACAGAGCAAGAGGAATGAAAATTAATGCTTTGGCCATTGACTGTTACAAAAAAGGAAGTGTGGGGTTTTTTTCCCCTGGCATTGTGGATTAAACCCAGGGGTACTCTTACTTTGTTGTCTGTTTCTCTCTCTCTCTCTCTCTCTCTCTCTCTCTCTCTCTCTCTCTCTCTCATCTATTATATGAAGAAAGAAGAGTTGGAGGCAGAGAAGGAATAATTGGTTTATGCTACTACACAGGCTGAAAATTCCCACAAATTGTAAATTGGAAAACCATGGAAGCCAGTGCTACAGTTTGGTGCAAGTCTCAAATGCCTGGGAACCAGAAACCGTGATACCAAATTCAGAAAGAGTGTCCTAGCTCCGGTAGAAAATCAATTTATTTTTCCTCCAGAGTTTTTCCATCAAGGCCCTAAGGATCTGGATGGTGCCTGCCTGCCCTGGTAATGGCCCACCTACCTGAATGGTGATCTGATCTGGAAATACCCTCACAGACAGCTCCATATAACTTTTGACCAGTTCTCTAGTGTCTCTTACCCCAAACTGACACATAAAATTCGTCACAACCGAAGGACTATCTTACGAGTAAATAGAAATAATGAATAAGAATAAAGATAGGTGATCAGACATTAAGTTGGAAGAAAACAATTTACAAAAAGTGAGTATAGTATTGGTGAAGGAAGGACCAAGACCCTCAGGATCGTAGAATCAGAATGTCAGCCCAACGAAGTGTCTTTAAATAGTCCATACTAATGACCTACTGACACAAGAATCAATTATTCTGCAACCTCCTTGGTAGATTAATTACTTTTTGCTTGAACTCTTAAAATGATGACGTGTTCCTTTCTTTGCAAGGAAGGCAAATCCATTTTTAGACAGATCAGTTAGAAATCCCTACTTTACACTAAAGCAAGATCTTTTTCTCTGCAGTTTTTGTATGCTTTTCTTGAGTGAAATTGAAAATGAAATACATCTTTCCTATGACAGCTCTTCAAATATGCGAAACAAGTGTTCTTGTTTCCTTTTCCCAGGTTAAAAAGCTTCTAGATACTTCACTTATATCTCCTGAAAAGATTCCTGTATCTTAATTTCCTGACTTCCCAGGCAGCATAGAATAATTAAACAACTAGTTTGCTAGTGTCAATTCCAGGAGGTGATGTCCAGATGGAATTTAGTATTTTACACATAGTTTGACTTGAACAAATGGGAGTGAAATTAATTTTGCTAGCTATTTTATCTCTATTAATTGGATTCTTTGCTTAAGTTGAGCTAGTAATGAACTTGTTTGCTATTTATCTAAATTGCTATCAAACCAAGTGTAGTCTTTTCTTTATCTGAACAAATTAATTTTATTTGCTAAATTTCACCTTACTGGTTCTGATTGATTCATTCTTTCTTTCAATAAATAGTTTGAATTTATTGATTTATTTTTATTAGTACATCTTTGTAGTCTAATGGCTACATTCATCACAGGGATTTGGTGGTACGTTTACTTTGCTACAAAGAAAAATAAGTTTTCAAGGTCAGTATGGCAGTCTTTGTGTTAGGCCTTGAGAATACCAGGGAGAAAAAGCTGTTCAATCTAGTTGAGGTTATTTTAAAAATTATATCTGACATTCCACATTATGTCTATCACCACCATCCTTACAAGTTTGGTAAATATGACTGTCTTTATTCAAGTGACTCTCAAGATTGATTAAGAGAAAATTGAGCTCATATTCCTCTCATAAACCTGTGATGCTGATGCACTAGAACCGTAGATTTAAAAGTTTTGGGGGCGTATAACAGTCTCTTTCATTTATTTTATAGAATTCAACTGATACATTTTGAGTTTTATTGTCTTGAATAATATATTTCTTTGAAGTGGAAGAAGATAAAAATATAATCTTATTTATCAAACTCAAATTTATGTCTTCCAAGGAGTAACTTTTTCAATGATCTTAAGGAACTCAAACTTGTTCCTAATAATCACCATTTCCTTAATCTAAACCCCAAAAGCCATCCTTTTAATAATGTGTGTTTTAGAACATTTCTTTCTCTGTTATATTTTTCTTTTTCTTCTGATTACTAAACAAAGTTTGAACATTTCTTGATTTTTTTTTCAGGTTTCGCTGAAGGGTGAGGAGCAAAATTCTCTTTGTTGGCATCTGTAACCAGCATCCCTTTTGGTTCACATCATGTTATTATTTTGAATATGATCTTTGTGGTCTAGCCTATGGAGTTAAATGTATGGACATACTTTTTAAAATATAAAATTATTTCTTTCTCTTTATACCTTCACTTATTTCTAGTAGTGTTATTTGTGTCTATGTTGTCAGAATTTCATTTTAGAGCCATATCTTTGTATTGTGATATATATATTCTGCAAAGCACAAAATATTCTTTTGTTTCCAAGGAAACAAACTCTATATTAGTCTTTTTTGTTTTTCCTCAAATTCTTTCAACATGCTGTATTTAGAGCCAGACTTAATAGATGCAGGCATCACTTTGTGTCCAGTGTGTATCTCTCCACAGGGCAACTCTCAGACAAAGTGACAAAAAGACGAATCCATAAAGAAACATGTTAGTGTTCTTGTCAGTACTTGGGTCCCATTCTCAGAGGAGCTAAAAATTATTTTATTTCATCAACAACATGTGATTTATAGGATTATATTGCCAGCTTGTACCACTACTGTGGCAGCAGTGTGTCACTGTAGGGCTGTAGTCATAGGAACACTTTTTAAAGAATCACACGGTGTTGATGCTTCCTGTCAAGCAAAGGAAACCGCAGACTGGCTCAAATCTCTTGCGTCTCTTCTCTGCTCATTTTCTTCTCTACAGTTCATGTTTTTTTCCTCAACTTATGCACCTTATTCATTTTCTCTTTTTTCTCTGTGGATCTGTTATTAATTACACCAATAAGACAGCTGTAAAGAAACTGAGCACTTGTAGCAGATGCTGTACTAAAGCACAGTAGTGCAACATCTGGGAGCTGTCCAGAGCCATAGTTGGTGCTCCTTAAATTCATCATCCAAGATTCTGTTTTAAGAAGATTGTTTCTGAACGAAAGTTCTGGTCAAGCTCCTGAAAATAGCAACATCAAGAGTAGCTGTCATCTAAATTCATGTAGTTAAAATTCTTTTTAGATATATAGATTTATAGTTATGCTGTGGCAAGTGTTCAAAGTACTTCAAAATTCTTATGTATTTGTTTGAATCATAAAAGGCATGCTTGTATTTTAAGGAAGTCAACTTCGCTCATTAGGGAGATATTATTGCTGATGCTTATTGTTTTATATCATAGTAGTTTCATTGCTGTATTGTTTTTAGATGGACTAGACTTTATTGTCTTGTTCTACATCTGTTTGGCCACAGCAATTCCAATTGATTTCGCAGGGTCAGCAAATACACAGCACATAAGCTAACACTTCTTCTGTACCCGGAGAAGACCAATAATCAATTGTACTATTTGTCTTGCTAAGGCAGGAACTAGCTTCAGAATCCCTCTCAAATAATGTCCCAGCCAATTAGCAACAATATATTAGAGTTGACACTTTTTATGAAATATATTTACCATTCCAGAGCTAACCATAGCTCTGAGAAATAGCCCCATGTAAAGAAACCTAGGGCAGAGGCATCAGAAATATGAAGGTCACTGAAGGAGTATGTCAGGAACCCCTCCAAATGGAGATTAGTTCCAGAAAAAAAATTTTCTATTTTATAACTCTGGTTTGGATTTGTACCATGTACAAAGAAAATAAAATCTTAGAGATTGCGTTCATAGATTCAAAAATAGTCTGTCTAGGTGGACATTACTCAGATTCTTGTTATTCTTTGCAGTGTGTGTGTGTGTGTGTGTGTGTGTGTGTGTGTGTTCAAGGTGATTCATAAATGTGACACCATATTATGAGTGTTCTCTATACCAAGTGATGCAGTAGAACAGTGAAAGAGAAAATGTTTTTGGTTTTGCTTTCCACATGTTAGAAATTAAAACAAAAAAATCATAGTTCTTAGAAATAACAATAGTAAATGTCCACAAATGATAATATTTTACAAAAAATCTATAATAATAATTATTCTAAAATAAAAGTTTAGTAAGAATAGTGCCATTTCTTATGTTTTTATAAATGGTTTTATTTCAGCTTAATATAAGACCAGTAGTGCCTTTATTTATACAATGATGTAAAACAACATGTAGCTTCTGGAAAACTCACCTGAATACTTATAAGAAAATTAGAGTGCAAAAGAAAAAGAATTTCCTAATACTATTTGAAAATAGTTTTTGATGTCACAAATATTCTAAAAGATTTTGGAGACACTAGAGGTTCTTGACTAATACTTTGAAAACTTCTGCTTTCTTGTAATAACTGATGTCTTTATAAAAGAAGGTTTCCTGCTAGGATCTCTCTGCCATTGAATCATTCAAACAGTGTATCTATCTATATCTAGGTCTATGTTTATGTATCTATCTATGTCTATGTCTATGTCTATGTCTATGTCTATGTCTATATCTATATATAAGGAAATCTCATTAGCTAAATGTTTATAAAGATATTTTCAATGTACACATTCATAATTTGAGAAATTCATCCTAATATTGTTATAGAACTAATAGCTCCATTGGTTACAAATAGAAAACAATCAGGTGCACAGAAATTTTAAAAATTACAATGAAAAATTAACAGCACAGAAATTCAGGCTACAGAGTTGGCTCACTCACTGATAGAGTACGTGTTTATTGAGCACGTGTTCTAGGCATGCAGCATACATGAAGAACAAGATGGCCCTAGTTGTTATCTTCATGAGGTTACATTATCATTATACCCTAAACACAGCGTTAGATTGATCAAATAAAAGCAAAAGCAACCACACATATCAATTACAAGACTATCATTGATTAAAGTATTAGCAAGGAATCCTGAGGGGAAGTAAAGATTTGAGGGGGACGTAGTAGATAGTTTTCCTATATTAAATGTAGTAGCTGACTTTGTAAAGCTGTTTCTTGTGGTATCCACTGATGAAATTTGAGGGCATAACAACAAAATGCAGTTGAAGATATCATATAATCTCCTTTTTCTGAACAATTATACTCCATTTGTTGCTAGTATTATAATTCCCCCAAAAATTATTTTGATGAATATTAAATGTTCATGGTACAAGCCTCTCTTGGTGCTTTAGAAATGTAGTACTGCATACCTAAAACCAGTCCTGAGGTTCCACAGGATGGCGAGAGAGCTGAGAAATGTGGAGTATCCAAGGAACTTGACAAGAAGCAAATGACTCTGTGATACAAGTCCTTCATTTTTTTTAAGAGTGGAGAAGAATGGCATAAATTATAGGCTGAATTCTGTCTTTTAAAAATGTGGAAGAGGGGGCTGGGGATTTAGCTCAGCGGCATAAGCGCCTGCCTTGCAAGTGTGTGGTTGTGAGTTCGATCCCTGGTACCAATAAAAAAAAAAAGAAAAAAGTGTACGGGGAAGTACCTCAGAACGTGACTGCATTTGGAGACAGGGTCTACATAGAAGGAACTAAATTAAAACGAGGTCATTACTGTGGAACCTTACCTAATATGGCTGGTGTCCTTATACAAAGTAGAGATTAGCATAAAAACACACGCAAGGGGTGGCTAAAATATACAGTGTGTATAAATAAAAAAGCTGTCACAGAAAGGCATATTGCCATTAATCTCTTTCTAAACACTCCCTTATCACTTCAAGTGTACTTATTCCATCATTCTTGCTATTCATAGTGTCTTTCATGACTGTCTTTATGATGTGTGATCAAAAGTATGGTAACATGGTAAATGATGTTGCCAAGTTCCTTCCAATAAAAATGTAGGTTGGTGAAAAAATTACTGTGTGCCAGCATCCACCTTATTCACTGCATGTGGCATCATACAGCTTCTAGCTCTTCCTGAAATCAAAATGAGCTTGAAAGGTAAATGTTTTGAGTTGATTCAGGATATTGAGACATCCAAGACAGCACAATTAAAAATAGTCCTGAAATAAAACTTCTGAACTGCTTTGGAAGTGACAAGAAGTATATCATAAGTGTGTTCAAAGAACAGCAGAGTATTTTGAGGGGGAATTAATGGCAATGAGTCTTTTACTCTAATACATTTGAACATTTTTAGCATTCACCATATTTTTCAATCAATGATTGTAGGGACATCATGTGAAGATACCTGCAGAAGCTGCCTGTCTACAATTCAAGGAGAGAAACTTCAGAAGAAATCAAGTTTGTCAACGTCGGAAATTTGGATTCTATTTTCCATCACGATCAAGTAATTTTCTGTTGTTAAAACCACCCCGACTGGTACATTGTTATGGCAGCCTTAAAAAACTAGTATCATGTGATTCTGTGATATGTGAAACAACCCCTGAAAGAAGGCAGAGATACAAGGGAAAGGGTGAAGGAGCCGGAGTAAGGGGAGAGAGCCGGAAAGAGAAAGGTCTCAGAGATGGCAACAAATAGGGGATGAAAACAGATAAACAGTAAGCTCAAAAATAGTGCCAAAAGACAACCATGTCAAATTCCTGGGACCCCAGAATATTCATTATGTGATAAAAGATATGGTGATTTTAAGATTCTTGGGAGGAGAAGTTTACCCTGGATCATCTAAACAGTGTCACAGGTATCTTTGTGAGAGACAGGCATAGACAGATTTGAGACAGGCACAAAGAAAAGAGATGTAAGGAGCAGACCAGTTGAGTGGTCTTAAGCCAAGGCACAGTTGGAGCCATCAGAAGCTGGAGTAAGTGAGGAGAGGATGCGTAGTTGTTTTAAGCCATAAAGTTTGTGGTAATTCCTTATTGCAGCCAGAGAGCACTAACACAGGTGGGCTTAGCTTGAATAGCAGAAGAGAAATTTCTTCCTATCAGACGCTGTGTACAAAGGTACAGGGGTTTACAATTGATTATCTTGGAGGTCGCAGTGATACAGTAGTTGAGTAACTAGAGATTGTTTATTTTATAAATAATGTCTCAAAACATTTCTGACTTATCTATTTGTAGGTAACTTAGAATTTAGGATAAAATTCAAATATAATAAAGCTCCTTATTTTAGATCTTTATGTAGTTGTAAATACTGAGTCAGATGGGAAATAAAAGGTCAATAATAACATACCCAGCTTCTCAAGGTATGCATAATGTTTATAAGTTAGAAATTTCCAATTACTTCTCCTGAGGTCAAAATGATTTTCACAACAAGATTGATTCTTTGAAATATGATAATAGTACAGTGTTGTAGATTGTGGTACATTGTGCCATATTAAATTCCAATGGATTTTTCTTATAAAAATCTGTAATGTTGTGATGATTGAACTCTGCTTCAGCACTTGGTAAATACATTGTTTTCCTAATTCTTGTGTTTGTCATCATACTTATCCAGGCAGTTGGGGGGACATTTGTGTGATGTTTGTCGTTAACAGAAGGATGGATTAATTTTGCAGCATGAGTTGGCGTGCTATAAAATTCATTCACAAAATAATTGCTTACTCGAGTTTTCCATCATTATAGCTGAGAAAGACAAGCACATCTGTGCTCCTTGAAATATGAGATATGTTCAGCATTTACTTTCAGCAAATGATGACTCTAGGATAGAAATATGGAAGAAAAAGATTCAGTGGTTCAAATTAAGCCTGTGATTACAGTACTAGAGACAGGATTGAACTATATCTTGAAAAGTCATAATAATCATGTAGCAACTTAGACATCACACATTATACTTCTTTGTATAATAATATTATTTTGGATAATTTGGTAGGAAGAAATATGAAATGAAAACATATGCTTAGGAATCCTTAAGAGTGGTTTGAGGGGTTGGTTTCAGAAGTTTGATACATGGTCATATTTAACAAACTTTGAAAGCCCTTCGATAGACAGCATAAAATCATGTTGTAATCCAAAATGTTTTGTTCTCTCTAACACTTGTTTATCAACATAGAAGGCAAATAGTGGATAATGGACATTGTGTGTGTGTGTGTGTGTGTGTGTGTGTGTGTGTGTGTGTGTTGGAAAAGTGTCAGGTAGTGCAGGATAACCAATTTCTAGAGGCATTCTATAGTGCTTCATGAAACATAAAGCGTATTTGCCTCTAATAGCAACATACTTTATTTATTTTCCTTTCTGTTAACAACTACCAGCAACCCGACTTACAAGTTACTTGGATTTAGAGGCAATGTCTTTAGTTTTGGTTCTGACATATGTAAGTACCATAGTGTCTTAGGTAAACCACAGAGTGTTACGATGTAGATAGATCATGATAATGGTTGCTTAATTATTCAGCAATTCATTTAAATTTTTTCACCATATTGACATTAAAAAGCATATTTGTATCAAAAACATAATGCAAGTTCCATCAGTTTTTTTTAATTGTTTAACATTTTGAGGGCTCTTCATTAGTCAAATAAGTAAAATGCAGACTTTTAAAAATCTGAGTTAGCTTTACACATCTTTCCCAAGATTATTAGTCCAGCTGCAGCATCAACTTCTTAACAACCTTCGTGAAGCCTTTGGACTCAGTGATGTGCCACAATGTTGCCCTATGAGGAATGTGCTAGGTTCCTTCCGGGCTCTGCCTGTTTTCTGAAATACCTCTTTTTGCATCTTAATCCTCAGCAAAGTAAGTTTCTTTCTCATCCTTTTCCCAATATGTTCTGTTCTATTCTTGAACAATATAAGAACCTTGGAAAACTTCAACTTTCCCACCTACTTGATTTTAAAATTTATTTTTCTGTTTTTACTACCCAGGTTAATTATAACTTTAAAAAGTTTTAGAAAAGATTTCTTTCCTTTGAGTTTCATTCTTCATCTACTTTTCTTTGTTGGTTTCATTTCTTTTCCTATACAACTGATTTCTGCAAAGGATTATTAGTAGTAAACCAGTTATAGTCTTTTTATTTGTCTACAATCAAATCCACAAGTGTAGCTAAAACCAAGAGTGATGGTAGCAAAGTGTTAGTGATGATGTCAAACACTGCCAGTGAAAGTATAAGTACAACAATTTAGAAACACCATTGAAGATTATCAGTTAATGTTGAACACGATGAATACCTTATACTATTCGAATGTGGTGGGCTGAATAGTGACACTACAAACATGTCCACATTCTAATCCTCAGAGCACTTGAATATCACCCATATGACAACAGGACTTTTGTAGGCATGGTCAAGTTACAAATATTTGAGGCAGAATGATTATCCTTGATTATCTGAGTGGTGTCAGTGTAATCAGGAGGGTACTTACAACAGCGATGCCAATGGAGTCGTAGCAGGAGAGAAGGAAATGCGCTGAGCAGAGGGATGTGGGCATAGGTGGTGAATGCCAGCAGCTGTACAGGCTGGAAGATTAAAAAGCAGATGCCCCTGGAGATGGAAGCAACTGGTCCTGCTTACACCCTATTCCAGCCCCATGAGCTTCATTTCAGGTTCTGAGCTCTCCAAATATTCAAGAAGGGACTCCATTTGTTTCTATGAATATCATTCCAGACCTGGACATCATGGCATATGCCTGTAGTCCCAGAACTATGGAAGGCTGAGGCAGGAGGAGGATCACAAGTTTGACACCAGTTTGGGTAACTTAGTGATTTAATGAGACCCTGTCTCAAAATAAAAACTAAAAAAAGGGTCTGGGGATGTAGATCAGTGTGAAGGCCCTAGAATTAATCATTAGTACTGAAAAAAAGTACCATTCTCTGTATCTAGAAAAAGCAAGTGATCACTAGTTGTTGAAGAGCAATAATAAGATTATAAGATCTCATTTTGGTGTGTAAATTGATATACAATTCTAGGCCGGCAGCTACTGTTTTTCAACATAGAGGATCTGACGTACCTCATGTTAATCTCTTACTAGCCATCATCTTTGTGAAACTTGTGCTTCCTGTGGTCTCACAATTCTTTCCACTTGTGCCTGCTGTTAGACTTTGTAACCTTTGTGTTTAAACTTCATCTCCATTATATGCTTCTTTACTTCTGCCATTTTCTGGGTAGTTTGTTCAGATCCATATCTTAGTTTAACATATCTGCACTAAGTGAACAGGTCACAAAGATAAGTCTTAATTAACTATTACAAAGTAACACTAATTAGGACTGTAAATAGAATTTTTCCAACATTCAGAAGGCCCTCATTTGCTCTCAATCACCATGACTTTCTTCCTGAAATATTTCCACTCATGGAGTCCACTGCCAGTATCAATGGGTCCACTGACAAGCAATCTTTTGGTCTGAAAATATCCTAAATTAAAAATCATTCTCCACCGGTATTAGCATTGAAAGCAGAATTGAAGATGCTTGACACTTTGAAAATCTATTTCAGTGTCCTCCAGCTTCATTGTTTTCATTGAAAAACCATCTATAAGTTTATTACAATCCCCATCAATCTAGTTCTTTTTCATATCCGACAGGTAATTGTATGGCTTGAAAAAGAAAGATTCTTCATTTTTCGGTGAGTTCACTTTTATGTGTCTGTGAATATGTAGTTTTCCTTGTGTTTATCCTTTTTAAAATATAATTTTATTGGTACATCTTTGGTATATGTAACGGTCACACTCCCCAGAAGGAATCTGAATCTGTACAGAGTGTATCTTGGTTCTTCTTTTTCTTTACTCACCTCCCGTCCCTCCAACCTTGCTTACCCTCCTTATTTACAAAAACTTGTTGGGTTCCTGGTGCTACTTAAATCTGTGGTTTACTTTTTCCAGTTATGGAAAAATAAATTTGATAGTTATGTGCAACTTTTAATTATATGTTAATATTTTGTCTTTTATTTGGATATATTAAAATTTGCTTCTCATAATTCTTTTACTTTTTTCCTGTTGTCTGTTTCTTTTTAGTTTTTTCTCTTAGTCATGATTATGCTGTGTTGTCTTCTTGTTATTTTGTCTATTTTTAAATGCATAGTTTATGTTTCATTCATATTTATAGAGGTAATTTAAGTATGTTATGATGTTATCTTTCATCTTCTGGTAGGTGACTGAAAATCCTAAGATCATCCTTAATTCAGTCAAAGTTTGGCTTTAGTTCTTCTACAATCTGTCATGTCGTGGTAGACCCTCATCATTCCCAGTGGGTATTCCTTGTGGTCTCAAATGAAAGGCCCAAGTGTTTACTATGAATTGTGCTTTGTGTAGGAAATGAACTCACTTTTTGTTTCCCTAGCACCTTGAATTTATTTAAAGTTCTCTTCAGGTCCTGATTCTTTTAGACTCCTCTTTTGGCACGTACTGGACATCCGAGTAAAATGGCTCCCGATGCAACGCTTTTCTGCCTTTTTCACTTCTTACCCTAGAGAGCGGCTCATCACTGTCTGTTTACTTCTTAAATGGCATCGAGAGGTATAAAACGAACTATTTGTCAGTTTAACATTTGTTCGGAGCGTAATGTCTCATCTGGTTGACTGGGATAATTGAAAATGGAAGTCAGAACGAGTTGCAAGATTTTTCATTTTTACAGATTTTGATTTAAAGAGATTATGTGCCCTTTCCATAAAGTTATTTTCTTTCCTATGTCTGGGTTTCATTACATATCATATATCTTTATTTTAAAGATAGTTGTAGTGTCTACTCTATAATTACATCATTAGGAATTCTTGGCAGATCTTGCTGTGTATGATGAATTGTTATAAAAGGAAACTCTAAGTTTATACGCTAGATTTATTCCTCTGTTATTGTGTGATTCTTTGCTTAAATTTAAAAGTATTATTTCTCCATATTTTTGAAATAGAACCTATGTTAAATATTATTTCCTTAGTTAGTGTTCAAGGTAGGTTTTTCTTTTTGAAAAAACTGTCTAATATAAATGAGGAAATTTAGATTAATTTTTTTTATTTCTACCAAAAATAAAAGAGTTAAAATATAAATGTCTTGCCTTGTAAGTATGTAGAACTTGGTATTTTAGAACTTTCTATAATTGCAGTAATTCATTTTGACATTACCTTTACAGGCAAAATCCCAATCTTTACTGATAGAGAAACTTGGGAAATTCTACTGTTAGCAATATAAAGAACTAACTCAAAATGCTGGGTGCATAATAAAACAGTCTCTTACTTTTCACTAGGGAAGCCTTTTCATTTAAAAATAAAAATGAGGAATTTGGTTGGAAGGCCAAGAGCAAATTTTTTTGTTTTTATCTCTCTGTACTACTAGTAGTTATGTAAGATGGTATATATAAGTCCATTTTTAAAGGAGTATTTTCTCTGTGAAAGAAACAAAGAAAAATAATCTTCCCTCAGAGATATATGAAAAATGTTACATTTTTATTGTTGACCTAAAATAATGCATTCCTTAAGACATCCTAAATATAACCCGAGCTCATGTGGAATTGTTACATGGATTTATACAATTTTAAAATAAGAAATTAATTTAATGTGGCTAAGATGTTTTGCTGAAATCACTAAAATTATTCTCTAGAATAATATCATATTTAACCTAGACTCCTTCATTTCTACAGTTTTAGATTAATTAAGCTTTAAATTCAAAAGTATGCAAAACACAAGCCTCATTAGTAAAAATCAGCATGAACAACAGTAAAATTAGAAATACTGTAGAGCATCTGTCACAGTTTCATTTTGCTCTTTAGGATGGAGTAGACGTAAGCATGTTTGTAGGTTAAGAGAAGAACAGATTTAAGAATTAACTAGTAGAGGGCTAATTGATGGGAATCCTGGAGAAGATGTGTAGAGAGCACATAGGGAGCAGAGGGTGAATGGAGAAGCACCATTTAGCCCCTGAGGAGGGAAAGCTGATGTTAAAATGTTAAATTAGAGATAGACAAGAACATGAAAGGCTGGTGCCTGAATTTTCTCAGTAGAATCAGAAATGTGAAGTGAGAGTGGGCGGTTTGGTTGGATCTTGGTTCACAGCTTAGCTTCTTAACGGAGAGTCTGCTGAGGAAGATGAGTAAGGAGAAGCAGAAGGGTGGCTGATCAGTGGGGACCCAAGTTTTGATCTGCAATGTCCACCATATTCATCTGTGAGACAATGAGACTCTCTGTCAGTTTGGGATGAAGGAAACCTATCAAATCCATAATTTAAACGAAGACACATTTAGATAAAAAACAAACAAGTAGCTGAAATTCTTATTTCCAATATTCAGAGTTTAGGAAAAAATGGGATTGTGTGAAAGAATTTTGAAAGCTCTTGTTGAAGTTGAAATGATTAAATATTTAAAAGTTCTTATATCAGAAAGAGCAAATACTAGCTATCAAGAAAATTATATGGATAAACACTGATTAAATGAACTCTCAATGAATTTCTTTCCTTTAATTGGATTGCCAAAAATTGTTTTCTTTCTTTAAATGTGTACAGGAAAGTAAGAAACAAGCAAACAAAAAAATCAACCTTATAAGTCAAACAGAATACTTTGAAACTGTTTGGGCCCTGTGCATGTTGAATTTGGAATCCTGACTGCTGAAGAAAAGCGTATGTATGAATTTTAAGTGGTTCCCTATGTCATCATTTCAGTGCACTGGAATCGTCCACTATGCGAGGTATTCTAATCGTTTATTGATCTTCTGGAAAGCAGCATGGCAGCTGCAGCGAGAGTCCTATCATGTTTCTGTCCAGAATCACTGCTGTATCACAGCACCTGCTGCGAAGAAAATTAAGCATGGATGAGCGATCTTTGTTGATTTCACTCTCAGCAGGTTCCACAGAGAAAAAAAGAAATTCTGAAATAAGAGACAAAATAAGGAGAAATGATGAGGATCAGAAAAAATAAAAAGTAAAAATGAGTTGGGAAAAGTAAGCAAGGTAAGAAAAGGTCTTACAAGTTATAAAATTCAGGTATGATGAGAAGAATTTCTGAAAACCTGTGAGGCTGTTACATTTGGTAAGTGCTCAGAGTCAGAGGAGGTAGGAGCTGAACTGACTGCACTGCTCTTGAGGTCTCTCGCAGCTCTTCTGCAAACAGTGCCCTTCTGGAGGGTGCTACCTGTTTAGACCCCCTCGGGGAGTTTATGAAGAGCATTAGGTAACACAGAACCTTATTCAACTTGGTCATTTAGTCTGGGTTCTGAGGATTTCATAAGTTGCCAATACTGTCTTTGTATTGTTTTATCTTCCTGGTGTCTGTTTTGAAAGACAGTAAAAATTAGAAGGGAGTATATTTTAGGCCTGCCTAGAATGTTATTAGGCCCAAGAAATTTGATGAAGTTTTATTTTTTTTTCTTACCAGAAACCATGAACTCATTAGCTTAACTCAACTCAAAGAAGCTGTTTTGAAGCTTTTTCATACAAATCACTTGAAAGCAAGTTACTTTACTCTTCACTTATCACTTGCTTATGGCAGAGGCCTTGGAGGAAAAAAGGGCCTGATAATACATGGTAACTGAAAATCAACAGAAGCACCAACAAAAATATGATTAAAGTTTTTAAAATTTATGTATGTAATGAAGATTGCTGATTCTTACAACACGATAGCAGCATAAATTAAAGAGGACAATCTGAAAAAGAAGGGAAATGAACATCTCAGTGCTCCAGCTCTGTATCATAAATCCTACATGCTTTATAGAGAAGCCTCTTGGATTCCCATCAGATGATTCTTACTATATTTTATATTCTACATATCTGATTATCTTTTTTCCCTGCGTAAGGGTAGTATATGGAATAAGTGTATCTAGTTAACATGAGAAATCCACTAGATTGTAAGCTCCATGAGGGCAGAGACCATAATTATCTTACTCAGTTTTAGACTCCTAGTGCCCAAAAAATGTCTGCTATACAGTAGCAACACATAGAATATTTGTTTAATAATTTAACAAATGGGTGGAAATTAATTGGAAACCATCAGGAAATCTAGATCCAATCTGTGAATCAGATGTAAAACCTGATAAATTTCAATTGTGGTGCTAATGGTGTAGCCTGTTAGAGGTAATTGTAGTGGAAAATATTTTGTATTTTTCCTAAGGTCTATCAACTCTGTCTTGAGTGACTAAATTGTGAAATGTTTTTGCTAAGAATATTGGCACTTACTTAGATTAAAGCCCATCACAGGCAATCTGCAAGTTAGTAAAACTTTGCATAAAAAATAAAAATAAAAATAAAAATAAAGTTGACTGGGGAGGTAAATTAGAGATTAAGCCCTTGACTCATTTACTCAAGGCTCTGAGGTGGATACCCAGCATTGCAACAAACCACAAAACCACAAGCTAAATAAAACTTCCCAGAAACCCTCATCGGTATTCAAAATGCTGATCTTCAAGTAGAAAACTAATATCTTTCTGTGAACTTTTTAAGCCAGATTTACTTTTTAAGTACTCTCCATGTTTAAAACAGCCCTCATCAAATGTAACCCTAAATTATAATGTATTATACTTAAATATTGTCTCAACCAACAAACTGATCATCAAGTAAAAAATCTGCTTCTTGGCTTACTTCAGCACCAAGGTGCTGGTGTTTCTTTGCTCTCTCCAGAGCATTCCAGTGATACCAATAGTCCTCAATACTAGAGTTTCCTTTTGCTTCTGAAGAACTGTAATAAATATAAAGGCAAAAGGTGTACCTACCTACACGTTTATATTTTTGTGTGTAGAGTGTGTGATTCTGTGTGTGCGTACATGTTGTGTATGTATACATGTATGTGGTCATGTTTCTGTGTACATATGCTTTGGAGAAGTCAGAACAGGCAGAACTTAGAGGGGTTTAACAATTGAAAGAAAGGACCCATATCACTAGAAGAGAATCACATTTGTATGCTTTCAAATAATACATAAATTACTCTGCTGTCTGTATGACATGAAATCTAGACATACATAAAGGTCAATGTCTTAATTGGTTTAATGAATCAGAAAATGGAATTCAATGATCATAGAATGACTGAAAAGTAAGAACACCTGTGTTGAAAGAACTTCTAGAAGCAAAAAAGAGCCTCAGTAGATGAAGAATTCCCCTCAAACCCTTGACTGGTCTCTGGGATATCCATGAATGGAAAAGACATAGAGAAACCCACTAGGAAACAACAGTTGAAAGTATAGAGGATAGAGATTTCCTCAAGGTGAGGAAAGCAGGATTTAGAGTCCTTCCAGTTCAACCCAGCTAATGTAACACCAAACCTCTGCCAGTTCTAGGTGGTCGGCCAGTAACGCTACTGCCTGACAGGACGAAAACCATACTTTTTAAAAGAAGAGACCATACTTCAGTATTTCTGTGGTGAGAGGTAATGGTTTCCCCAAAATATAATCTATAACCAAGAAAGAAAAGCAAATGAGTCTGATGGGAAAATATATTTACAACCTTGTTTTTGCAAATATATGATGTACCACAAATGTGCAAACCTACACTAATAAAAATAAAAACATTAAAAATTTTAAAAAAATGTGTTGCAGGACCTAAGGGAAACAATGTTATAAAAAGTTAACAGACAGGTTATCTCAGTAACAGTGACACTTTAAAAAATAGAAATTTTAGAGTTGCAATGTATGATTTCAAAAATGAAAAATTCACTGAGCTTTGCAGCTGATGGATGAAGCAAAAGAATGTCAGCAAACTAAAAATAAGTTAGTAAAAGTTCTCCAATCTGAAATAGAGAGGGAGAAATGAGCATAGCTTCCATGCCTTGTAAGATGACATCAACTGACTTAACATAAGTCTATTTGGGTTTCAGAAAGACAGAAAACATAAAATGGGGAACAACATATATCAATAAACAGTGGCCCCAGTCAATATACGGATATAGGAAGCTCAGCGTACTCCAGATCAGATAAATGTGAAGAGAATCACATGTTAGGCATGTTTTAGTCTAAGTACTGGGAAAAAAGATTAAGTTAAAATTTTGAACGTGATCAGAAGAAACAGTTACAATGACATGAATGCCAGCTGTGGGCTCATCAAAAGTACTAGAGGACTAAAGCAATAAAATTTTAAGCTATTCAAAAAACCACTCTTAGTATGAGATTTTACTTCTGGTAAAACAATTCTTTTTTTTTTTTTTTTTTTTTTTTTTTTTACCAGGGATTGAACTCACGACCTTGCGCTTGCCAGGCAGGTATTTATGCCACTGAGCTAGATCCCCGCTCCCAGTAAACCTATTCTTTATAACAGGATGAATTGGAAACCTTTTCAGATAAACAAAAGGGGAGCTTATTATTGTCAATTGAAAGAAGATCAAAAGAAGTGGTAAATTAGGTAGGTGGGAACATTATCTTTTTTATTTTACTTTTTTTTGCAAGATAACTCACTTTTTGAGGTTAATAAAATAAATAAAATGAAGGCAAATGGTTGTAAAGAATAGCACAAAGGATGGGACAGGTAAATGGAAATTTAATTTTTTGAGTTTCTAATTCTATATGAATTGGAATTCTATGAAACCTTGGAGATTATGACTAGAATAACCGTTCAAAAGTGATACAAAAAAGAGTAGCTAAAAATAAATGTATGGATGAAAGTGATACTCTAAAAATATGTGAATTCTTTCCTAACAGAATTAAGACAAGAAAAGCACAAGAGTATTAAAAAATTGGACAAATAAAAATAAAGTAGAAAATTACTATATTATAGATAACTATATCAATAATTGTTTTATATTTAAGTGGTCCAGCTGATAAGTATAAAAGCAGATTCTTTAACAAGAAATGAAATGAAAAGGATGAATCAGAAAGGTCGCTGGTGATAAAGTCTGGCTAATGTTCAGTAGAAGTACATACTATGACGACTGTATGCTACGGTGTTTTATTGTTACTCCATGTACGCTATAACTCTCATAAATGCATCAGGCCTAATTTAGAACTACAGACAACCCAGTATTGATAATGGTTTACTTCATTTCCGACATTCACTGGAGACAAAAATAGTCCATCAAGGTTTAAATTGCCTCTTTCTTTTAGGATGTTTAAGTCTGGAAGGCACAGAAATATCTAAAGAACAATGAAGCAAGAGAACTGTGGCTGCACACCCATGGTTATTTCTTTCCTTTATACCACCCAGCACAAAAGAGTATGTATTTATTTTTAATGACACCTTGGGGATAAGATTCCTTTGGGCAGCTTAAAGCAATGCTTAGCAGTTTTCTCAGGGAAAAATTTTTTATATGTAGCATGATTCCCTTGTGTTACTCTGTAAAGTTATGTGAATAAATTCATAATTTTTGAACACCGGATTCATTCAGTCCACTGGGAGAAGGTCATTAAAGGCAAAATAATATGTAAAAAGTATTAAATAATATTTAAAATATTTAAATTATTAAATATAAGTGTGCATGGGATAAAATGCATAAATATTCAGGTAGTTAATAAAAATACAAGAAACATGATAAATATTAATTGGTTAGCAAAGGCAAACCAATATGAGCCAAAAGAATAGACACTGTGAGATGGGTATACCCTTTAATTGAGACTGGGACAGGTAGAGCTTGGGCTGCAGGGCAAAGGAGAGTACGTTTAGGAGAAGAAAGGAGAAAGTCTGGGAACAGTGCAATACTGTTGGAATCTGCATACTGTATTTGAAAACAAAGAGCAGTGAAGCCTGACTAGAGCAGAGGAATCAAGTGGACATGTGCCAGGACCTCTGATCAGAAGGGCAAGATGGGCAAAGCTTATGGGAGGCAGCAAGTACAGGGTAGGGTGCTTTGCTGGCACCAACAACCACTGGATAGAGTTTAGGAGACAGGCAACGTGATGGAAATATTTTATGAAAATTAATTTGCTTAAACGTGTAATCGCTACTGTAAAAAAGAGGGAAAGAAAATAAAGGATATAACTGCGTGTCTTAGTCACTTTTTACTCGCTGCTGAGACAAAATACCTGAAGCCCAAATTTGGGAAAGGAAAGGTTTATTTCTTACAGTTTTGGAGGTTTCAGTCCACACTCAGTTGGCTCCAAGGCAGGCGGGCATGGCTGGGCTGCAGTTCATGGCAGCTGCCAACAGCTAGCAGGAACCAGCAAAGAGCAAGACACACCTTCCCGCCATTACATCACATCCTGGCTCCACCCCTTTGTGGGTGGAGCACTGACACCATCAATCCAAGCACTATACAATGAACCATCACAAATGCACAATGCAAACTCATGAGGCCTGGGGGCCACAGACATAAACCATGACACTGCGTGTATGATTAAATGTGTAAGATACACAACCATATTACTAAGTTTTTGTTGGATCGTTGAACAGAACTGTTCGCAGTCTCACTATTTGAGCATCTACTTTGTATGCTTTAATAACTTGAACAACTATTTCTAAGATGACAGTATGTAATTTATCAACTAGTAATTTCTTGTGTTTTTTTAAAATTCTGTATTATTGGGGCTGGGGATTTAGCTTAGCGGCATAAGCGCCTGCCTTGCAAGCATGTGGTTGTGGGTTCAATCCCTGGTACCAGTAAAAATACAAAAAAAAAAAAAAAAAAAAATCTGTATTATTTCTACCCTTTTTTCTGTTTTACTTTTTTTTCTCTTTAAATAAAATTTTAAAAAAATTAATTTGCTTGTGAAGTGTTGCCTGGATTAGAGGAGGGATGAACTTTTTTTTCTTTTTGTATAGTCAGAAAAGGATTTGAATAAAGTAGATTTATATGTGAGTAAAAAAAATGTATTTACTATGATCTACATTTATGAAGCAAATAAAGTAGTGCTAATGTTATTAATTGGTTTATTTGGTAAAATTACATATTGAGTATTTGTAAACTTTTGCTAAAAAATTCATGTGACCCTTGTTAAGATCTTTTATTAAGTATATATAAAATTATATCCTCTAATATTAGTACTCAATAGAGATGAATTGCTATGGGTCCCCAAGAGAAGATACACAGAATTTAACAGTCTGTCATTGATGTAACTGTATTAACTCTTTTTTGTTCATGGAGTTTGGAAGCTTTCCATAAAAAGTTAATTTCTTTATTAATAAAAATAATAATGCCTCCACACAGAGTTTCATTCTGCATTTCATTTTGGCTTCAAGCTTATTTCAGCCTTCTTTGTGATAAACTGGAGGCACATTTACATCTTTACTTACCTGCTATGAAAGATTTATGTAACTCAGGTACCATGTATTTGGATCACCTTCATGAATCTGGAAGCCTTATAGTGCTAATTGGCAAGATAAGCACATCAGAGAGAATTAGAGAATCTTGTACTTTTCTTGATAACAACTTTTCAGTATACAGTGCTGAAATTGTGTTGGTTTGCAACTGGAAAAGAATTGGAGAATATATTTTCATGTGGAAAAAAACTTTAGAGAAATGATTATTCTTTTTTGTGTGATACTGTATAAGCTACTCCCATGATGAAAGTGAAATTTCCTTCAGTCACTCTGTGGTAGCGCAAGAAAGCTTTATCAAAAGAAGTCCTGGAAACAGTAAGAAATAAGATTTTGCAATCTGAAGGCAAGGTGATATTAAATTTTAGGTCATTTCAGGGAGGAATATGGTCATATTTAAGTTGGATATGGGTTAATTATTCTTGTGGATAGAAATGCTAGGAGTCTATTAAAAATTCTGATTTTCAATTTTAGTCTTTTTGTGCTATTTTGAGTCACATGTATCCTTATCTATTTATTAGGATTTTGGTGAGTAAAGAAGTTTTATATATATATATATATATATATGTATATATATATATATATTCAGAATCTTGCAAGCCCAATGCAACTGGTATACATTATACAGAGCATGATCAGAATTACTGTTAAATTAATAAATTGTTGAGTGATGAAAAGTAACTTTTTACAAAGTAAAAATGTTTAACAATTTTTGGCCATAGCCTTTGTATTATTTCCCTGTTCTTATATATTGAATATAGCTTTTGAAGAACAACCAGAAATGATGGCAGAAAGTTCTCTTGCAAACAGTATACCAGTTATTGGAATCTGGGAAGATCCTGGACCGAATCATTCCCACCATGGGTAAGTTTTAAGATACCTATTCTGGACTCACCTTTAAAGATATCTTACTTCAGCATGATTGGAATTCTCATTATTTTTCACTTAAGTTGTGTGTGTTTGTGTTTGTGTTTGTGTGTGTGTGTGTGTGTGTGTGTGTGGGTGTGTGTGTGTGTGTGTGAGAGAGAGAGAGAGAGAGAGAGAGAGAGAGAGAGAGAGAGAGAAAGGCTTTCTTTCTTTTTTTTTTTTTTTTTTTACCAGGGATCAACCTCAAGACCTTGCACTTAGCAGGCAGGTGCATTCCCACTGGGCTCTAACTCCCTGACCTGTAGACTGGTTTTCTGATTCAGAAGTGCTTTGTTATGCTGTCTTACATGACTTACAAATCCTTTAGTCTCCTGTTTTGTTTGAAGTAGAATGTTAATAAAAATGAAGTAAGTTAGACACACAAGCTTAAATATTGTACAGTTTCTTTTGGAGGAGAAACTTAAAATATATAGTTCAAAATAGAAGATAGATAAATAGAATAGGGAGAAGTTAAAATACTTTCCTAAATTACCTATTCTGCTGATTCAAAAATAATTTAATATATATGGTAAGTTGTTATTTATTTACTTATTACGATTTTCTCTTAGTTCACTGAAAATAAAGTTATGTGTGATTATCTTTCATTTTTGTAAGAAAATACTTGAGGATAATAATACAGTGAAGTAAATTGTTATTCTCTTAGTATTTTGTCATGAAATTTTGCTTTATTTTTTGTAAAGTACAAAAAGAAGAATAGGGAATATTGATGAAAGAAATTAAAAACCATTATTCATAATACATATAAACAACTTTAAATTTTAACTCAGTGTGGAATTCACAAGGAACCAGAATTTGATTTGCATTCTCTTTAAAAGAACAGAACAGTCTTGAGTTTGACTGTAAGAGAAAAACTATGATATTATAGGGAGAAAACAAATGCAGAGACTTTCCATTACTTATCTTTGAGGCAGATTTCCAGAATAAGTGTGTTATATTATATAATTGTGATACTTGCTCTTAATTCAAATCTGTAATTGTATTATGGTTGTATTTAGAAATATTAATTAAATTCTACTTTGCTAAGAACATAGAGATCCAAGTTTATATCTCACCTGTAAATGCATTGTGTATTACCTAAAAGTTGAGCTACTAAATAGGTGGGCTATAGCAATCATGTCCCTTTTTGAGCACAAGTGAAAAGTGGGGTTGAAACTTGGGTTGGTGTGTGATGAAATGCATGCTGACTTATCCCTCACAGCCTCACTAGCTCCCTAGTATTTATTGGAGTGTAGCTAGAACATTGCTTGAGAATAGAATCCTTTTGTATGTTTTTTTTATCTGGCACCCTCTTTTAAATATCATAAAAATATCTCTAATATGTATATAGCACTGTTTTATTCCATTCTCTTTGAAGAGATAACAATTGTAAGTGGCCAGATGAATAGAAATTTGACCAGAGGAGAAGGTAAACGCATTCACAAAACAAAGCACACCTAGCAAGAATTAAAGGTAGTCATAGTTTTCAAAAGCCATACATCAGCAAGAGAGATACTAAGGCTGAAAAAGATGCGCTGATTATATAGCAAAGAAAAATACGGAAAACTTCAGTGTATGTCATTATATTTTCCTTTTTTTTTTTTGCATCATGAATAGTGTTAACAAAATATTCTTCTTTGTGGATTACAAATGCTAATTTTCTTCTTTTTCTCCAAATCCACATGCAATTTCAAATTGTGGCTAAATAGTTTAATTAGCTGTTTAGTCCCCATCCTTTGCCGTGTCATTTTTATCCCTGAACACAAAAATTCTTTTTCCAAAAGTGTGTTCACATGCAGAAACATATACAGACACGGAATCTGTAGATTGTCCTCTAGAAGATATCTCATGCATTTACGGTCTGGTCACTGCTCTAAAGAAGTTTATGATTTATTAAGGCTAAGTAGGGAGTCAACACTGCGGCATGGATGATGAACCAGAAGACAAGCCATTCTCAACTTGCATAAATTCCCATTGTGTTCTGAATGAGAGATTATTCTTCTAAAAACAAAATTGGCCCTGTGGAAGACTATTGGTTTAGAGATATTAATTATGAGAAGCACTATTCATTTCTACTTTGAATTACTTTCACTTTTTTTTTTTTTTTTTTTTTTTTGGTACCGGTGATTGAACTCACAACCTCATGCTTGCCAGGCAGGTGCTTGTGCTGCTGAGCTAAACCCCCGGCCCTCTACTGTTACTTTTTTGCTTGATTGTATTTGCATTATGTGTAAAGATAATGCACATTACAGAATTTTAAAATGACATTTAGAAAGGATATCCAAATTCCATTTTATTGGTCTTTCATCATCACTGCTGTGGTTATCTTTATGAAATAACGGTCTCTAGGTGGCAGCATTTCAAGCCTTTAAAATAAGTGTTTTAAAATATAAAAGGTGAAGTGTTTTTAAGTGTGGCTAATGAAGAATTTGGGGGAAATGTGGTAAGATTGCTTAATCCTTTGAACTTTTATTAATACATAATGGTTACATCCCGCTTGGGGAGTTGGTTCCCACCCAAACATATATATGTAACACATCTTAATTCTATTTTTCATCTCCTTCTCTTCTTTCCCCCTATCTCTATCTCTTAGTCCCATTCAGTTTTGCAAAAGAGCTCTCTCTGTTTCCTAGTATCTATCTTTTATTTGGTTCTTTGCTTATATTTTGGGTTTTTAAATAAAATAAACCATACGATATTTAAACTCATGTGTCCAATTTATTTCACTTGAGATCATGATCTGCAGTTGTATCCATTGGCCTACAAATGAGAACTCCATCGTGTATATGTACCACAACACTGCTTAGTTTAATGAAAAAAAACAAAGATTTGTTGTGTTTTCAAGACTTATTTATCATTAACTGAAACCAAATTGGCATAAAAGTAACTGGCCACAGAATAAAGACTTTTTTGTTCACATAAGACTTTTCAGGAATTATCAGTGTGATTCTCTATACATCATTATGAGCAGTAATAGAAAGAAAACTTTCTAAAATCATCCTTCTCAGAGTATATGCATGTTAAAAAAAAAAAAACAACAACGAAAAAAAAACCTCTCTGCCTAAGTAGTCTGTGGTTGAAAACAATCTAGCTGGGCTAGATATCTAGCCAGGGCTGGGCTGCATATCTAGGACAGTAACAGATTGGTTGACCATCATTATGACCACAGAATCGACTGCCTGATTATATACCAGTTTCAGTGTGTGAACTTTACATACATTGAAGAATTTATTTCTCAAAAGTAACTCTAACAGATACACAGTGAATTTGTGGCAGTTGTTATAATTTAGATCTAGAATGCCTTAAACATGTCATGAGGTGGTCAGAGGTGGGGCTTTTGGAAATTGATTGGATTGTGGATGCATTGTTTAATCTTCAGAAGAGTTCCGAGCTCACCGAACTAAAGAGAATAATCACTTTTTCTCTGTCATGGTTAGGAGATGGAGCATAGCTGAAGATAGGTCACAGGGATGTACCATGGAAGAGCACAGCCCCTTCCCTTTTCTCTACTTCTTGGCTGGTGTGAATGGAACAGCTTTCGTCTATCATGCCCTCTGCCTTGCTGTGTCTGCCTTGCAGCTGGCTGACCGTGGACTGAAACATGAACCAAAATTAACCTCTCGTCCTGTTGTAGGTGTTAGATATTGTTCCCAGTAAGAAACTAAGAGATAGATGAAATGTGAGGACACAGTGTCTGGCAAGTGTTATCGAACTGATCTGAATTCAATTTGTTTTGTTCTAGGGTTTTGTCTTAACTCACTATGCTACACTGTGTAGTCTTTGTTAGGGGAAAGGTCTGCAGAGAGGGCAAAGTACACCACTGGGTACACCAGGTCTGTCTTGGACTTAGGGGGAAAAAAACATTTTTAAACCCAATACTTTACAGAGAATTCTTCAAAAGTTTTTAAGCTCCCTTTCTGGCCTGATACTTAAATTTAGTTCAGCACTCATTAATCAAGTGCCTCTTATGATATGGGAATCAAGCGAAGCACGAGGGACAAAGACAGGTAAGATACCGATAAGACTCACATTGAGAATGAGATGTTATTTTATAAATGCCCTAAAATGACAATTCTTTGGTGATGTCCTTGAAGTAGCAGTAAAATGCAAAGCTCCAAGTGCATACTCGTGCCTTACTAGAGGTTATCATTCCATTTCATTCAGCTCTCAAGTCATTCAGTGAAGTACAGCAAAAGATGACAATATCAGATAAATGTGATTCATGGTGTCCTCGGGTATAAGCAGCAGAGTATGGCTGCTTGAAGCTGCTTATTATACCATGGCTTTATGGCTTTCTGATGAGCTTTTGGACCATAAATATGCAATAATTTTAATAGAAGAAAATAAATCCACTTACTTCTTCCATCTCTGTAATGTGAATTATTTTCAACTTTTGAAATGTAGAAAAAACTATCATTTGATAAACAAGCAAAAAAAAATGATATGGTAAAACTTCCTAGGAACGAAGAAAACATCTAAAACAATTTTATCATCAAAGTTCATCGGTTATACATAATAAGCAAATGCAAACCTCATCCTTTAACTGTTTAACAGCAATAGCTCATGGTTATGACAGTTTTCTACAAGTGACATGAAGCAATTAATTAGGGAACCCATACATCAGAATATGCAAAAGAGAATACATGTGCACCTCAAATAATTGGTATAGAAGATGATCTTCAAAGGACTTGCTGTTGCCAAGTATCTTGAAATTATGTTTACGTGCTGGCCTTATTGGTAGAGAGTATTTGGGACCATAGTATTGGTGACTATGAAAACCTTTTGTGATAATAAAAATAAAAACTAGCATCTATCAAGTCGAGCCCTATGCTAAGTGTTTAAAATATATTCTCTCATTTAATACTTCTAAGCATGCATTTCACATATAAGGAAGTTGAGACTTAGATTATCTGTTTAAGGTCACATAGTTATGACAGAAAAGGGCTCAAGCTTACCTTCCCACATTCTCTAACCAAGTCATTTTACATTTTCTTATTTATACCACACTTAGTGCCCATTCATCCAGCATATGTCAGCTATGAATCTTTCCTAACTTTTTGAATATTTGTGGATTATTGTGAGAAATAAACACACCTTCCAGTTCTAATATTTTCATTGCTTCAGTCATCTTTTCATTTTGTAACTTGTCCTAGTCATCATCTTACATTCCTTTGTGTGGTGATTTGATTAGCATCAGTGTGAGTTATTTGTCAGTGTTGCAAATTACTCCAAAATCTTGTGGCTTAAATCAGCAACCATCACTTGTTCTCTCTCACAGTTTCTATGGGGCAGGAACTCACAGAGCATAGCAAGGAGGCTTTATTTCTGCTCCAAGGCCTTTGAAACCTTAGTGGGGGGAGAAATCACCAAGAAACTTGTGGACTTTAGGACCTAGGAATTGATACAGGTTGTAAACTAAGCAGTAAATATGGGTTTGGTTTGTAAACCATGGACTTCCTTGCAGCACAATGATTATTATTCCAAAGCAAAAAGGGATAGAGGGAGAGGGGAGAGGAGAGAGTGGATAAAGAGGAGGATGGGAGAAGCCACGTGATCTTTTCATGGGGGAAGAAGGAGACAATTTTAATGAAGTATAATTAAATACCATTCAATGTACAATGCTTTTTAGTATATGTATATGTAACTTTTGCCACAATTTCAATTTAGAATACTTTCATCAATCCTAGGAAGACCTGCGATGTACAGGTCAATTTCTGCTCCTATTTCCAGTCTGGGGTCAGTGGTAATGAGCTCAGTATTACATTTCTGAAATTTCATATACTGTACCTAAAATCATATGATATATAATTTTAATGTATAATTTCTTTTCCTTAACATAATATTTTGAGGTTAATTTGAGTTTTTAATTTTTTATTAGTTTGTTGCATTTTATTGCTGAAACTATTTTATTGTGTAGATTTACCACATTTGATTCATCCATTTATCAGTTGATAGACATGCTTTCCACTTTCTGCATAGTATGAATAATGCTGCTATAAACATTAATGTGCAAATTTTTTACTGGAGAATTTTTTTAGTAACTATGTTTAGTACAACCTCAGTACTAACAACTTGAAATTTTTAGTGATTTCATTGGGAATAATGTTACAAGTAAACTACTTGGTACTATAATTTAATTTATTATATTATTCTTGTGAAACAACTACTTGAATTCTCATCTGTGGCATGTGGTTTTATTCTTTTCTTGTCCATTGAATTCAACTGTAGATTTTCTATGGCATAGTTATTACATTTTCCATATTTCATTTATGCATGTTGGCTCTTAATTTTTTAAGTTTTTTATTAGTGTGTACTAAGTATGGAGAAAAATGCATTTTATCATGGCATATTAACAAGTGCAAAAATACTTTGTTTTACTTGTCTGCCATTCATTATTTTAGCCTACTCCCTGCCTCACCCTTTTCCTCTTCTCTAATAGTATCACTTCTTCTTTCTTGTCATTTTTTCTAGATTCCACACATAAAAGAAAATATAATACAAAGGATGATCAAAACATTTGCAAATGTTTAAAATGTAAAAAAAAAACCCTTACTACTGTAAAACACATTGCTAATGATGGGATAAGTTTGTTCTAAGCAAGAGGGAATATTCTGAGTATACAGAGGAATTAACAGTAATGTGTCTTTTACTTCAACAAATTTTTTTAAACATACACCTATATTTTGATAGCACCTCTTATTTTTATCATTATGAGCGTGACTCTTAACTTTTCTGTCCTAGTACAGAGATTCTGCACTTTCTCTTTTCTTGGATGCTTGTTTTTATTCATGCTCAAATCCTGATATCTGGATTTTGGCCGCTTTCCTGTTAATAATACTTGTTCCACATTAAAACCATCTCTCTGATCTGATCTCTAGATTCACCTGTGGACCTAGCACATTCCCTTAATTACTTGGTATTTTATATCCTTGTCTCTTTCCCTCTTTGCCTCCGTTCCTGCCCCTATTATGGCTCAAGGTTTTGTTATTATGGAAGATAAAAAGTGAAGAGTAGAAAGGAAGTTGAAAATTCTTGTACTGTTTAAAGTATAAAGCATTGGCATTTATGTGATGGATTCATGATTAAATAAAATATGTACTCATATGTAATCAGGGTTCTTGAAATATTCTATTAGGTTGATATCTCTGATGCATTATTTGATAACTGAGTCCTTGGTTGTAAAAAAATCATGTTGGCTTCTGGGCATGGCTCCTCCACACATAGTCTGGAAATTTGTCTGGAACTTTATACACATGACTAACCCGGAATAACTGATACACGTTCTTTCCATTGTGGTAGAGCAGGGAGTTCCAGCCACAGATACCAATGACTGGATTCTCCATGTTGTTTTATCCCACTTCATAGCAAAGAAAGCTGAATTTGTTCAAGTTTGGGACTGGAATGTCAGCAAGGAAGTTGGAGTCCTACTCCTAACTCCTAGTGCTAGGGAATCAGTTCATTGTGCATCCTGTGAGAGAGATGGTGTGAGGGCAAGAGGACGAAGGTGCTCTAATTATTTTGTGACAATGAAGAGCAGCAACAAAGAGCAAAGAAGCCAGTGAAGATTCTTACTACCTTTGAGCAGGTAATGTAACAAACATGGAAACTGATGCCTCATGGAGGCTTAATGAGTGAAATATTAATTCATAGACTTTGTTGCTGGAAGCGGCCAGTCCTTTTACATGATACAATTTCCAAACGTGA